CGAGCGAGCGAAGCGAGCGAGAAATTTTTTAAAGATCTGTGAGGTCGCAGTGCGAAAAAGTACATCTTATAAAGAGGAAAAAAGCCAATCGTGATGGGGTTATAAGCACATTCTCATAACGGAAGACTGAAAAGACCTTTGATAAGTAACATAATTATATAGTCTTTAAATGCGAGCGAGCGCAGCGAGCGAACTTTGCGGGAAACTGCTCTTAGTCGCTTTAAATAAGGGGCACGTTTAATGATTACATGAAAAGGGGACAATTATCGAAAGGGATAAGACACTTATTAGAAAAGAAAAGGAGCACGTGTATAAGTACAAAGGATAATTATAAGAGGTGAAAATGAGGCATTTTTTCACTAGAAAAGAGGCACTCACCAGTGATGAAAAGGAGGCGTTTACGAAAATGGGAAATAGGCATTTGTTGACAGAAAAGGGGCACCCATCAGATTTTAATAGGGTCATTTATAAGAGGTGAAAAGGGGATAGGTCCCTTATTAGAAAGGAAAAGGGGCACGTATCATTATTAAAAGGGGAATTATCAGAGTTGCAAAGGGGCACTGACCAGATATGAAAAGGGGCACTTATGAAAATGTAAAAGGGGCACTTATAATAAAGGAAAATGTGCATTTTTTGAATGAAAAGGGGGCACCGTTCAGATGTTTAAAAGGGGCAGTTATGAGAAGGGGAAGGGGAAGTTATGAGAAGGGGAAGGAGCTCTCTCTCTCTCTTTAATGGGGGCACTTATCATAAGGAAAAGGGGCACTTATTAGAAAGGGAAAGGGGAAGTTATGAGAAGGGGAAGGAGCTCTCTCTTTTTAATGGGGGCACTTATCTTAAGGAAAAGGGGCACTTATTAGAAAATAAGAGGGGCACATGTTAAAATGAAAGGTGCGCTCATCCGAGTTTAAAAAAGGGGTAGTTATTAAAAGGAGAAGAGGCACTTCTTACAAAGGAAAAAAGGGGAAGTTGTCAAAGTAAAAAGAGCACCTCTCAGTTTTGAATAGGGCAATCATCAGAGGTGAAGGGGGCACTTATTAAAAGTGAAAAGGGGCACTTCTCGTACCTGAAAAGAGGCACTTTAATACTAGAGATTAAAAAGGGCACTTATTCAAGATAATTTCAAGATTCAGAATGGAAAATGAACATTTATTGCAAAGGAAAATGGGAACATGTCGAAGGAAAAGGGGCACGTGTCGAAGATAAAAAGGGCACTCGTCAGAGGTGAAAAGGGGAAAGGGGCACTTTTACTAAGTAATAGGGGCACTTGTCAAAGTAAAAGGGGCACCTTTCCTATGTAAAAGGGGCACTTCTTACAAAATAAAAGGGGCACTTTTCCTATGTAAAAACTGGAATTTTTGGGGTATCTGAAAAAGTGGGGGGCACTGTGCCCCCCTGCCCCCGGGAGGGCCGCCTTTGTTTATAAAACCAGTAAAAAAAATTGAGATTACAATTAGAAATTCAGTATTGAAACTGTTTCTGACCAGTTTTGTTTATAACTTTTTAATTAATGCAATAGCCTTGCATTGCCAATAACAAAATTAAAAGGTATTTCTATTTACGTAGTATAAAGAGACAGGCTGCTATATTACAATTAAAAATAAACAATATTGTTAAGAATATGTTATTGTTCGATTGCAAATATTTTAGATTGATATGATAATAAAAACTTGGTTGACTGTAAGAAAGAAGTTAAGAAGTGCGTACAGTATAACAGTTTATACTTAGACGGTTCAGTAAAAAAAAGTTTTTCTTGGCAAGGTAATAGATATTCATTTTTAAGCTCTCAAAATATTTTAGATCATGGTTTAACCAAGCAAACAGAGACCAAAAATTAATACAATCTGTAAAGCTGATTCCATCAATTAAGAGGAATCGAACTAGCTCCAATCTCAAAATCAATATACATGTACAGATATATCATGCTGCAATATGCCATATCACATAATATATTTGTTTATGGTAAACTAAAACAGCCAAATTCGATTGCATTGCAAGTGATGGAGGGCGATGGAGGGCACGTCAGTTACGTGCTTCTCACTATATATAATCGTAACCATCATAATTGCCAGTTTACTTTATTGTATACATTCATCCATACATCAAAGAGGAAATGATAAAGATGCGCCTAAACTACAAATGAACTGGGCTTAATTGTTGTATTGTATTGAGCTTTTCCACTCGAGGCCAGCGACTCGATGACAAAGATTTAGCTAGTAATGCAATATGAAGTTTAACAAATGCATGATTAATGTATAATTCTATTGCGCATAACAAAAAGGAGACCAATTAGACATGTAGAATGTACAGTATATAAAATATGGCTCTCGCAATTATATAAAACCATCAAATTGACCTTTCCCCTAGCTATTGTATCATTCACAAGTTATAATGGATAATTCATTTGTACCGAACGTCATGTAACATTAATTATCACGACTAGGCATTTCCAAGGTTTGTAAGTCAGACCTTGGGGAATATGGCTGTAGTAGTACATGAAAAGAAATACAAGATGAACCAACAATTCATTTATTTTCATAATTTCCGGTCAATTTCCGAATGAGGACAAAGAAAGACAACGAATATGGCTACATGTACTGCACATGTCTGTAAAGCATTGACGTCGAGTCGGAGGGGGTGGAGGACTATTTAAAAACAGGATTATAGAAATAGAATTATTCAAGCAGCCTTCACTTCTAGGGTATAATTAAGATTTTATTGGCAAATACATCTTTTTATCTATGTTGTTCCGACAAAAAAAAAATTCCATTTACACCAGTCACTTTTTCTCTTTGTCTTGATCCACATGCTCCTAATTAAGATATGTCATCTTTCTCTCTTGTTTATGCTTTCTTTTGCTTCCCTCCCCTTCCCGTTTCTTAGCTTTGTTTTCCAATTAATACCGATATTATACTTTCACTCTTTTTCCATTTGCCTCAATCTCTCTTTCTCTCTCCATCCACCTCTATCTCTTTTTCTCATTACATATCCTGGGGGGGGGGGGGCCGTGTTTCACAAAGATTCTAAGTCGAACTTAACTCTAAGTTGGACTTAAACATTATGGAGAGCCATTTGTAGCATTATGACGAAATACATTCAAAAGCAAAATTGAAGTATTTTAGACTTTTCTTAAATTCCACATCAAGAACATGAAATATCCCGAGATAATAGAAAATATGATTGATTTGAATCAACATTTTATGCAATTTAAAATAATTTTAATAAAATATTTTCAATGATGCTAACGGCTTTCCATTATTGTTAAGTCCAACTTAGAGATAAGTTTAACTTAGAATCTTTGTGAAACATCCCCCCTGGTCTTTCTGAAACGTTAATCCCACTGTTTTCACTTTTATATCCCAAGATCTAAGCATATCTACTTGTTGTGTATGCCTGTTTTTTTTTTTTTTCCAAAACAATCAATCTTGCTCCTAAAATGTAGAAATTGGTAAGTTGATATTCATGTAACCAGGTAAAGAGACAGTGACCCCCTCCCTAGAACACTATGCATTTTATTGCAATTCTTCTCTTCCCTTCTCTGCTACTCCTACCCCTCCTTCCACCTTTTATCTGTCTGTCCATTAACTATGTATGCTCGTGTGTGTGCATATGATTGTGATAGATGTATGTGTGTGTTGGCTGTGTGTATGTGTACACATTCTGTAAGTAATAAGTAATCATTCGTATTTTGTTACCGTTTTTTTTTTTTTTTTTATATCTTTAATACAGGGAACCTCTGCTCAAAAACTTTTGCTTCTCCGTGGGTATTCTCACCATTTTATTGAACAATTATTATTTTGTTTTATACTAAATCTATTAAAAATTTTGCCGTTCATGTATTATCATTGAAAAACCTGTTATATGTATTTTAATAATAATAATAAAAGTGGGTTCTTGTATAGCGCTCATGTCAGTCAGATTTGACCCTCCTGGCGCTCCCGACTATTACCCTGGCTTAAGCACGGCTGCCATATGGCGCTCTAGCATTTCAAGGAATAAATTCCTACCAGGTACCCATTTACTTCACCTGGGTGGAGTGTGGAAAATGTCGATCAATGTCTTGCCAAATGTTTTATTAGAATGGTTGAACACGTTTTTGCTATATGGCATCTACCTTGATCATCAATTTTGCCAATAAAGGATTCTTACGCACTTTGCACTTTTATTAGTTTTCTTAATACATTAACGTTGAAACAATATATATATACAGCTACAGAAAATTAAATTCTTTTACATGAAAAGTTATTTATTGTCTGGGGAAGCAAACAAGGAGACATCACGATTCATTGATCATAAATAGTTTAGAGCAAGATATTTGTGTATACATGGAACATTCACAGATTCCCCAAGTTCAGATTCATGACAGTTTCATGACACAAAATAAAAAATCACAATAATATCTAATAACAGAATCTTGATGACAAGGAACAGTTAATATACCTGTATATAAAGACCTCTTAAGGTGTTTACAGGCATACAGGTGATCTTTACATACAGGTGGTCACTAAAGCGGGTTTCACTATACAGTACATGTATTTCAACTATGAATTCAAACATCATGACCACAGGAAAGTTTTCCATATATGGTGATATCAATCAAGGATGGATCCAGAAATTCTCTGAGTGGGGTGGGGGAGGGGGGGGGGGGGGGAACCCAAGTACAAACCTTTTTTTTACACAAGCCCCAAGCCCCCCCCCCCCCCCCCAACGAAACCAAGAGGAACAAAAGTTTTTGGTCTCTGCTTTTAGTCCTTTTTCAATTTGTAATCTTCATCAGCTCGAGATTGCCAAATATCCCGCTACTGATCCTGGATATATTTGACAGGTGAAGGCGTAAACAGTGGGCTTTTTGCTCGGGAATTCATCCCAACATATCTTGAGCTAGTTTGCAAAATATCCCACAACCCCGAAGACTCGGACAATGCGCGAACACTGAGCCAAATATCTTGAGCTAATTTCTCGAGCTGATGAAGACGCGATTTGTAACTTCGGGCCTATTTCCCAAATCAGAAATAGCAGGCTATTTGGCAATCTTGAGCTGATGGAAACATACCGATTGTGTGTGTGTGTGTGGGGGGGGATATACTATTAAAATGTAAGTACTAAATCTACTGCTGACCAACTCACATGGCGCTATTATGCTCGTGAAAGCCATGGCCCATAGTGCCACAATAATGTCAAAATAGTGTCTATAAACTTGTAGCCCTTCAGTTTCTACGCTTTCAAGGAGGAGGAATCATGTCACGACAGGCTATCGAACATGTGTATCCGCACACTCCCGTCTGAACTGCAGCTAGCCAGTTGGAACCGGTTCTGACTGGATTCACCAGGCTGACTTCTACTTGTTGGTCTCCAGCTCAATCGTTTAACAGTCATGGTGTGACCCGAGCTGGAAAAAAATAATCAAACCAATTAAATATAACACTCTCCAAAAGTGAATTTGATTAGAGTACACAAATATTAATACTATAAAGGAATCTTTTTACACTTTTATCATGTCCTTTTATCTAAAACTTGTCTTAAGACACATACATTTAAGATTGCTTTTGCATTCATTAACTTATCCTGTTCACATTGGTGTGTATTTCATATGTATTGTAATCTGTAGGTTTATTTGCACTATTTTGTTTTGTTTAATATGTACACACTGTAATTGTTTATCAGTCTATTTTGTTTGTTGTAGCGCTTAGAGACTTCGGTGGTAAGCGCTTTATAAGTAACGTTTTTATTATTATTATTATTATCAATTCACCACAAATGCAAGTCCTACATGCTTTCATAAAAAATAGAGAACTGACCCCTGGTATATTCTACTCACTGTTTAGGTAAGGATACGAGACACGTCCATGCAGTTGGCTGGGAAGGATGCCATGAATGGACTGATATTGATCCTGATTCTACACCAACAGCCAGGATGTAGCTGTCAAAATAAACATTTAAGTACTAGACGGTTGAGTGCTCGGAAGAGGTGAAAAATAATTTGTTAGCGTTATCATTGTTACTATGCAAGTGTGGAAGAACATCAGATAAAAAATGTTCCCCGAAAAGCATGGCTCTTGAAATGCTTTCATATTCTAAATATGGCATTAAACAACGTAAATATCGGGACAGATTTTTATGACACATGTTCGTGTAGCCCCATATTTATCTTTTGGTGTACAGGTGCTTGTAATTTTACCAAGACTTGGCCAAATTTCTTATCATTTTGATGATTCCAGAACCTAGCAGTACACACCAATACTTATAGGCCTATGCTAGATGAGCAACCTTTTATGATCGATTCCACACTGTTTATTTAACAATGCAATTGCATGACCAGAACTCAACTTTATCTTTAACACGCTTGAGTTCCGGTAAAGTATATAATTAATTTGTGAGCTTTTTTTAATATCAGTTTGGAAGAATGCCATAGTGAATATGTCCCCTAAAAATGATTGCTCTTCAAATGCCTTTATATTTTGAATATACATCAAGAAATAGCTGAGAGGTTTAGACCAAAAACTCATGCCACATGAGTGTGTAGTCCCATATCCCATTTCTGTGAGCTGTGCGTGTGGTTTTCTACATGACTGTCTAACAATATACCTAAACACACTCTAAGACCAAAAGTCAAATATGATTACATAGAACAATCACAGCTGCACTAGTAAAAAACTACTAAGATAGATTTACTTTAATTACAATTGTCAAATTTGCACTCAACAATTTTTTGGTGGACAGTTGCTAAAATCGATTTTGATTTATCATTACTGATTTACCAAAAGAAGCCATTGGACATGACTGGGTTACAATATACCTAAACACACTCTACATGTAAGACCCAAAGTCAAATATGATTACATAGAACAATCACAGCTGCACAATTAAAAAACTACTAAGATAGGTTTACTTTAATTACAATTGTCAAATTTGCACTCAACAATTTTTTGGTGGACAGTTGCTAAAGTCGATTTTGATTTATCATTATTGATTTACCAATAGAAGCCATTGGATTTTGGGAACACGAATGCGGGGGAGGCGCCAGGCTTAGCACTTAACCCTATCTAGCCGGGGGGGGGGGGGGGGGGGGCTTTAGAAGCCCCCCCCCTGCCTCTACATTTTTCGCGATAATTTTTTAACGCAAGAAAATCTTGCACTGAAATTTTTTGACTTTTTTCTTTTGAGTCTTGCGCATCTTTTGAAAGAAATTTTTCGAAAATCGGACCTACCATTACAAAGTAACGTGTCCTTTTGTCTTTACATGTCAGCCCGAAAATCGCTCATTTTTGTGATTTGTGTACAAAACATGTATGGAAATCTCATTTTTCAAATAAAGAAATAAAACATTGGTTATTTGGTCTTGTTTATAGTTTAGGTGTTTATTTTGGGGTCAAAATAGTTGAATCATAGTTGAAATAAAACAACAAAAACAATAAAATACATAAGTTAAAAAAACAAAGAAATACATAAGAAATTATAAAAACAATAGATAACATAAGGAATAACCATGGTTTTTCAATTTTTTGTGTTGAATTATTATTCCAAATGGTCCAACAAATATATGTAGTGACAAAGAATGCTTAAATATGAATAATGTCTGATTCATGGACAAAAATGTGAATTTGATGACCTTATTTGCATAAATTACTATAAATATGCAAATGAGTAAATTTAAAAAAAAATTGAAATTACCATAGTATTCTATACACTTCACTTGACATGTATGCAAATTTTCACGGCGATCGGTCGTTTCACGGCCGAGATCATAGGGGGGGGGGGGGGCCTTAGAGGGGGTTAAAGTTACGAGGTTTAGTTTAAGGGTGTTTGTGTGGAAATTGTGATAAAACCTAGAAGGAGGCGTTCCATGGATTTATGAGGTGGTGTCGCAGGCCATTAGGTACAAAATTATGCAAAAAAAATCAAAATCTCAAAAACTTGAGATACAAGGTTTTGTCACCCCACCGATGATTTGCCACTCTCCACCCAGGTGCTAAATGGGTACCGGTAGGAAGGAATTTCTTGAATTTCACCGAAATCAGTAGCCCACCAGAGCCGGAGTGCCTTAAACACCTTGCGTGGTGGATATAGGCCTATAAAAATATCCAATATTATTATCATCAATATTATCATTATAACATTTTAGTAATTCCAATACAATGGCTCCATAACTAATTCTTTATTTACCTTCCATTTGTTGTGAGTTGTCTGGCAAAGTCTATAGCTGTGGCAGAATCACCAACGTCCAGCGGCTTGGACATAGCTCCGTACTGTCCAAGAGGACCGGCGTCACCTTGGTCCTCATCCACGCTTGTCTTCTTACCCCACACAATGACCTGAAAAAGAAGAAGAAAAAAAATATTTAAAGATATAGACCAGTTTTGAAAAACGCCCCAATCTCAAAAAATGAAATGGAAGCTCTTATTGCCAATCATGTGAAAGAATATGTTTTGATTCATATGTGATGACACAAATTTTGCCGGAAAACCGCCTACTAATTGCTATATTTTGGCCCTCAAAACTAATGTTATGATATCCTAACTTCTTCTGAAAACAAATTCGTGTAAAAATATCAAGAATAGACAGTAATCCTAATGTTTCCTTTCAAGATTACTAATACTTGCTGTGAAAGGTTGGCAGGTATGCTTTTACTCATTGCATGAATGACTCCTGCTCCACAGTACTACATGTATATAACATTAAAGAGAAGGTTGAGTTCTGGGAAGAGGTGAAAAAAAATTTGTGAGCATTACTCATTCTTATTATGCAAGTGTGGAAGAACATCAGTTAAGACATGTTCCCTGAAAAGCTTAGCTCTTCAAATGCCTTCATATTCTAAATATGCATGTAACATCGTAAAAATCGGGGGCCGGCTTTTTACGCCACGTGTTCGTGTAGTCCCATATACATCTTTCTGTGCAAGTGTTTGTAACTTTACCAAGACTTGGCCACATTTCTTATCATTTTGATGATTCCAGAACCTTGCAATACACACAAATTCTTATATGCTAGATGATCAACCTTTTCTGGTCGGTTCCACACCGTTTCTTTCACAATGCAATCGCATGACCAGAACTCAACTTCATCTTTAATACTAGTAAACCATTTTGCTCCATCTAGAATTTTACAAAATTCTAGATTATTTGGTCTTCCAAATCTGATGTTATATTTCACCAAGGCTGCAAGCTGAGGCTGAAATATAATTGCTCAACTCCTTGACCTTCTCTTTAACCCTATTTAGTTGGGCTATTTTGAAACTGCATAGCCCAAGGGGAGGCTTCTAAGGCCCCCCCCCCCCCCCCCCCCCTATGATCTCGGCCGTGAAACGCCTGATCGCCGCGAAAATTTGCATACATGTCAAGTGAAGTGTATAGAATACTATGGTAATTTCAATTTTTTGAAAAATTCACTCATTTGCATATTTATGGTAATTTATGCAAATAAGGTCATAAAATTCACATTTTTGCCCATAAATCAGACATAATTCATATTTAAGCATTCTTTCTCACTACATACATGTATATTTGTTAGACCATTTGGAATAATAATACAACACAAAAAATTGAAAAACCAGGGTTATTCCTTATGTTATCTATTGTTTTGATAATTTTTTATGTATTTCTTTGTTTTTTAACTTATGTATGTTATTGTTTTTGTTGTTTTATTTCATTTCCAACTATAATTCAACTATTTTGACCCCAAAATAAACACCTAAACTATAAACAAGACCAAATAACCAATGCTTTATCTCCTTATTTGAAAAATGAGATTTCAATATGTTTTGTACACAAAGCACAAAAATGAGCGATTTTCAGGCTGACATGCAAAGACAAAAGGACACATGACTTTGTAATGGTGGGTCCGATTTTCGAAAAATTTCCTTCAAAAGATGCACAAGACTCGAAAGAAAAAAGTCACAAAATTTCAGTGCAATGTTTTCTTGCATTAAAAAATCATAGCGAAAAATGTCGAGGGGGGGGGGCTTTTAAAGCCCCCCCGGGCTAAATAGGGTTAAAGGTATAGACCAGTTCTGGTCATGCGATTACATTGTGAAAGAAACGTTGTGGAATCAATCAGAAAAGGTTGATCATCTAGCATATAAGTATTGGTGTGTACTGCAAGGTTCTGGAATGTATATGGGACTATGCGATATCTATCCAGTCCAGATAGATATGATAATTTACCAAATATATCAACCATTCCTCCACATAGGAACGATTAGCCGCTACATAAAAGCAAAATAATTTAAAATAAAAATGATCAAGCTTACCTTCTTATCTCTGGAGGATGTAGCAAAAAATTGACTATCATGTGACCAAGAGCATGCCCAGATGATACGCGAATGTACTGATGTCTTCTTATCGGTGTGTGCTATCAGCCGATATGGATTATCTATTGAAATCAGTGAGAATCAAAGAGGGTTTAATTTGGTGGGCCAAAATTATAATGCGAATCCCTGTTAATAATAATAACGGCAACAACATTGACAATGATAATACTACTTCTAATAATACAAATAATGGTAATAATAACAATGATAATGTAGATGTGCCGTGGTCGAGTGGTTAAGTCGCAGGACTGTAGATCACAAGGTCCGCGGCTCGAGACCCGCCAAGGCACTAATGTCCTTTGGCAAGACATTGATCTACATTTGCCACACTCAACCCAGGTGATGTAAATGGGTACCTGGCAGGAATTAATTCTTTGAAATGCTAGAGTGCCGCAATGGCAGCACAGCTAAAGCCGGGGTAATAAAGTTTGGAAGCGCTTAGTGATTCAATAAGTATTATTATTATTATAATAATAATAATTATAATGTTGATAAAATCAATAATAACCATTATCATCATCATAATTATCATCCTGAGCATCATCAAAATTTATTATAAATAATAATATTAGATGTTTTTATAGCATTCACATCCACCACTCAAGGTGTTTAAAGCACACTAATAATAAAAAAAAAAAAATAATAATGACCCAACGATTTTGAACCCCCTCAATGTGCTGCCAACTTAAGGATTATAAAGCTCTTTTTTTTTCTTCGAAATTCCTAGCATTTTGTGCAGTGTGTGCAATAGCTTTTGCCCTTCCTACTTGTGTATCTGGTATATATTTTAAGTCTCTGAATCAAAAGTTATTAAGCCAAACCACAAAATGTGGGATGATTGTCGTGAAAGGGATCCGGTAACTTTGTCTCAGATTATGAAACAAAATCCTGGATTAAGCTCATGCTGCAATCATAATTATAAACCTTTACGTCAGTCAGGAACCCATGACTTTTACAAGCCCATCGCCTGTCTGATTATCAAGATCGAATTTTGCGTTTTCCTAACGGTTTTCAAAACACTAGTCTATTGGGAAAAAAAGATATGGAAAAACTGGTCACTCAAAGATGTTTACTTTTTTGAGGCAATTCTTGATCATTTTGAAGCGCAATTTTTCTAGGGCTTCAATATACTACCATATCACAATCACTGGTAACACGTAGGGCCGTGCATATCAGATTTAAAGGGATAGTTGAGTTCTGTTGCAGAGGGCGCTACACAAAATATTTTGTGAGATAATGAAAAACTGAGTGTCAAATTTGAAAGAACATACAATTTGAATGACTAAATCATCTTTGCCCGTTAAAAATCGGTTCAGAGACGGCTGAAATATAACGATTTCTGATACTTACTGTATGTACCACTACAAATAGTAGATATTTTGAAAAATTTGAAAAAACTGTTGAAAAAAAATGATATAACGCCTTTTACGTTGAATTTCAGCAAATGCCGATGTTGGCTTTTTTGTTGGCCTTTTCGTGTTACTTATATTACCCACAATTAGCCGGCTCAAGTATTGTTATTTTTAATTAAATAATTAAATAATTAATTAACGGTCACCATGTTTTTTTTAAAGTGGAGCTGAATTGGTATGATCGTATTGGCTAAATTTCACACATTTCGGGGTCTCAAATTACCTTCATAGCAATTTTAGGTTCTAAAAGGGCACTATAAATGTCATATATAGGAATAAGAGCAATAACCATGCACTTTGAAGGCATTTGCGGTCTGAAAACAGAACTCAACTATCCCTTTAACATTGTTAAATGATGTCTTTAAGAATGGCCATCTCTCTAGTCTTCCCACCTTCACTCTGGACTTCTTCAAAGAGAGACCAAGTCCTGTCCCTGGACACTCCGAGCAGATAGCGGCCATCATGAGAGAACGCAAGCTGAGTGACCGTCAGCGAGTGAGCCATCAGTTGACCTTTCTGTTGCCAAGACGATGAATCCCACAAGATGATAGCTGCGTGCTCTGGCTTAGCTGCCTGCAGAAATTACAGGACATTTTTAATTTGTTTTAAATACACAATAACCAAATTTGGGTAGAGGTGTGGTTTGATTATTAAATGGCGAGAGATACATACTTCATTGCCATAAATCTTTGAGGCCTGACCTGTTTAATACAATACACCTCTTTACTATTTATGAAACTATGAGGCTGTTCACACCGGCAGAGATAGCGCGGTCTAGCGCGCGCTCTATCGCGCGCTAGGCCGCGCTATCTCTCGTGGACCACCCCCAAGAGGTGCTCCAGTACTGGCACGCCGTTTTGGCTCGCCGTGGCTCGCTGTTGGGCGGACCGAAACGACGTTGTACCTTCCACACCGCAGAGATAGCGCGCGCTAGACCGCGCTATCTCTGCCGGTGTGAACAGCCTCTATGTTCCTCTCCTAACCCCTTGTTACCAGCCATTTCATTCACCTGCTATTATTAATGGCATCTATACAGAGGGGATCTGCATAATTTGGTTGTTGCTATGTCAGTCAAGCATCTGGCAAGTTTCTCTTTTGTTTTCTTTAGTTGTCGAGAGAACATTTTGATGAAAAAGTATGCATAAATTTAGTAAACAAGTCTATTCATTTCCCACATAAACAACAGGGGAGCTACATGGTATTAGAATGATTTAAAGATAAAGACCGGTAGTAGTAAAATTGCGGTTCAAGAAGGGATTTGGGTGCAAAGTATCTACCGGTATTCAATATTGTTTAAATATTGCCTGCAGAGGTTTAGATGGTAATACTTCAACCTAAATTTGCAAAAAAAAAAGCAGAAATACATGTATATGACCCAAAAGTGCATTCGTGATATCTTTCCAGGCTGGATCAATATGATAATTTACCCAATATATCAATTAGCAGGTGGTTTCCCGGCAAATTTTGTATCATCACGTATTAGTAGGAACATATTCTTTCACATGATTGGTATTAAGAGCTTCCATTTCACTTTTTGAGAGGGGGGCGTTTCCAAAACTGGTCTATACCTTAACTTGTAGACTACTGAATCCTCTCATTTGCATCTAAGGCTCAATTTATAAGCCAGTCATAAATACTATCTGCGCATGGGCAGATAAAGGTAATTGTTCCCAAATTGTAAAACCTGTTGAGGCAAATACTGGTATCATGCTCATGACAGTTATGTAATCAGTATTCATTTATGCACTGACAGTACATTTATCTGATACACAGGTGGATGTATTCTTCTCTAGAGGCAAACACAAGGTATTCATGAAGCACCTCCATCACTTTGGCAGTGATTATTCTAAAATGCACAAGTGGGAAGTAGCCATCATGTAAAAGATCTGTGGATATTTTGGGGTCATGAGCTCCAAAGTTTTTTATGAACTGGCTTATACAGGAGTCATCTGGTTCCCATAGGCAAGGGATTCATATTGTTATCGTTGAGGTCAGGGAGGGTTTTCACAAAGATCCTAAGTTGAACTTATCTCTAAGTTGGACTTAACAATTATGAAAAGCCATTAGCATCTTCGAAAATAGTATGTAAAAGTCATTTTAAAAGGCATAAAATGTTGATTCAAATCATTCTTATTTTCTATAATCATTGAAGATTTCATGTTCTTGATGTGGAATTTATGAAAAGTCTGAAATACTTGAATTTTTGCTTTTAAAATATTGTATTCTAAGGCTACAAATGGCTCTTCATAATTTGTAAGTCTAACTTAGAGATAAGTTTGACTTAGAATCTTTGTGAAACACCCCCTGGTCAGACCCTTTACCTTGCATGCTGATGCAATGATGTTTCCTGAGGGATGAGCAGCAACGCTGAAGATTTCATTACCATGTCCATACAGCTTCTGAGTCTCTGGCCACAGGGTGTTTTGTAGCAGGTGATCTTCAGTTGGAGGGCCTGTTAGGAAAATCAGGATCATTATCATTATTCTGATCATTTTCATCCTCATCATTATCATTATCATGATTACTATCAGTATTACTATTATCATTGTGGAATACTCTCCCTCAATGGATTAAGAATAGCAGTTCTGCTGAAGTGTTAAAAAACAATCTTAAGAAATATCTGTTTAATTTAGCTTATAATTGATTACCATTATCTTTCATGTCTGTACCTTTCCTATTGCACTTTTGTATATATTATGTATCATGTATTTCATCTTTTGCACAAGCTGCGCCTTGAGCATTTGACTGTCAAGTGGATTTGGCGCCTTATAAATCTTATGTATTATTATTATTATTATATTATAATTCTTGATGTTGTGTGTTGTTTATCCATGGTAGCCTCATCTGTAATAATACCATTCTTTCTGAGGCCACTACAATCACATTACTACCCAACTTTAGTCTGGCTACCACTAAAAGGTGCTCAAGCATACAAAGAATTTCCTCCTACCAGGTACCCGCGTTAACTTCCCTGGGTGGAGAGTGACAACTATATATACATGAAAAAAGTAACACTTACTCTCCAAAGCAACCGGTGCAAAGTAAATCTCGGTGTACTGCTCGCTAGGATGATGGATCTCTCTGTCCACGCTAGGCATACCCCCCTCTCCCTGGTAAACAGCCTTGTTAGACAGTCCCAAAGCTGGTACACTGGCACCCTCCGCTAGATTCTTGGTCTCCTGCAAAGGGAATGAGTCCCAGGGGGGTGTTTCACAAAGATCCTAAGTTGAACTTATCTCTAAGTTGGACTTAACAATTATGGAAAGCCGTTAGCATCTTTGAAAATATTTTGTTAAAGTTATTTTAAAGGCATGACAATGTTGATTCAAATCATTCATATTTTCTATTATCATGCAAGGTTTCATTTTCTTGATGTGGAATTTATGAAAAGTCTAAAATACTTGAGTTTTTGCTTTTGAATATATTTTATTTAAGGCTACAAATGGCTCTCCATAATTTCTAAGTCCAACTTAGAGTTAAGTTTGACTTAAAATCTTTGTGAAACACCCCCCTGATTCTGTTCGTAATAAACCTTATTTAAATTGTCTGAAGAGAGCCACTCAAAGGCCCGGATTACAGAGGGGAAAAAAGGAGGTTTAGATTTACCCCTTTATTTGCCTCAGGTGCCAATCGACTCAAACGATGGTAAACAAGAAGTAAATAATAATAATAATACTCAGTTTTTATATAGCGCTTATTACAATCACTATGCGCTTCCAAACTTTGGAGATTATTACCCCGGCTTTAGCTGTGCTGCCATTAAACGGCGCTCTAGCATTTCAAAGATTTAATTCCTGCCAGGTACCCATTTACATCACCTGGGTTGAGTAATATAATAGGACTAACAGTGAATTACGAATGCTACATCTGAGGATCCATTTCAAAATTCCAGTCCTATTGGAGTCCTAAACTATTGTTAGATCACATCTATGTCAATTCATTATCCATGAAGTTTTGAAATAAAATGAAAAGTATGTTGGTTTGGTTTTTTTCTCTCACAATAATCTTGCAAATATAAAGATATTAAAGCAATGGTCAAATTCATTGTTTAAAGGTACTGTATCCCTTTTGCAGCCAACATCAAATTCTCTAGAAATTTACATGAATTACAAATATGTCACATATATCCAATCTGTGAAATGTCACATTAGCAGTGTCCTTGTATTCAAATTATGAAGAAAAAAAAAAACTTTCTAGACTGTACTGTCAGACACTATTCAGTAACTGACCAATTTCTTTTTTTTGGTGGTAATAACATACATAAAATGAGCTGTAACAGGTACATGAGCAGTTGTCTACATCAATAACCCACTCCTTGTAATGGCCAGAATTAAACTGATTGAATCTTGGTGTAGCACAAAACGTACAACCTTTCGGTACAAGGGTCTGAAAATCAGACTACTTAACAAAATCTTGCTATCCATGTCAATTTGGAATGATGCGGTGTCGTCAGTCAAACTACATAAATAGAGGCATTTTAATTCAACAATGTGTGGGTGGGGTGGGGTGGGGTAGGGGTGATGTGTGAGCTTGTGTGTGTGGACCAGTGTGGGTGTGGGTGCATTTGTGTGTGTGTGTCTGTTGGGGGATGGGGTAATCTTCATACCTGTAATGCCTTAACTGATGATGTGTCAACCCCAGATATCTTGGTCAAGTTGTTAAGAAAGTTGGTTGGTGCCTCAAAAACTCTGAGAACCTATTCAAAAGTATGGAGACAAAGATAAAGACACTATGAACATGACGGACAAAGAAAGAGGACAAAATATACAATTTCTCATTCTGCCTTCAACAATTGCTGTGGTAGACAAAGGAACATCCCTTCACTGCTATTATGTAAAAATGTGTAGAGCAGGTGTCACATGCATATTCACCTGTTCTACACAGTCAGAATTCTCAACAAACAAAAAAATCCTTTTTTTTCTTCTCCCTCTTTGGGTTGATATTTCTCAGTTTTGAATGCTTTGACACATATTTTTGAAACCTTTGTTAAAAATTGTTATTGACTGCACATTCTTTGCAATAAGAAACCAGAACTTGCAAAATATTGAGATTTATGTATTTTTCGTGGTATGAAGCTGGCCAATCTAGACCCCTTACGAAATTCGCTACTTTCTTATACTTAAGAAACCAATAAATCAAATCAAATCAAATCAAATCAAATCAAAAAGTGTTTCGTTTGACAGCACTATGTTATTATCCAGTGGCACGTTCAGATATTATGCGGTAAAACTGTGTTTTTTTTATGATAACTTAAAGTGTAAATACACTACCCCATTTCCCTATCGTATAACACAGAGCTATAAACACATCAGCTAAAGTTGATATGCGTAGTTCTTTGTTACAGTTGCCTTTCATTTTATACACGTTAAAAAAACGCAGCAAAATTTTGGGGGCAGTTTACTGCGCCATATCTGACGAGCCTATCTAGGTACCTTTTCATCAGCTCCTGAAACAAATGAGTGAGGTCCAATCATAGCTAAGCAATGCATGTCGTAACCATGGATCTGGGGACGAGCTATCTCATGCCATGACTGGAGAGGGAGACAAATTGAATGCATATTAAGAAGCTATAATGATCACAATATATTATACAGTAACTAACGCACCAAAACTACAACAATGACGGAACAGGGTTCAGGGGTGATAGTGAGCACTAAAAAAATATAGCTTTTTTTGTTTTTCCCCCTTGAGTAAAAAAAAGATGAGGATTAGCGGGGGAAAAATGGCATCTAACAACATTCCCCCCTTTCGAGTAAGAAAAGTGGGGAAAAATTTTGGGAAAAATTTTGGGAAAAATAGGGCAAAATAGGGAAGAAAAGAGAAGAAAAGAGAAAATAAGGGGGAAATCGGGAAGATCAGGATAAAATAGGGAAGAAGAAAAAAAACCATTTAAAAAAAAAAAAAAATCAGGAAACCGATTTAAATCGGGTAAAGGCATCGTTTAACCATGTTAAATCTGATATGCATGGCCTACGTGTTATCAGTATCTGTGTTATTGTGTAATATTGAAGCCCCACAAAAATTGAGCTTCAAAATCATCATGAAGAGCCTCAAAAAAGTAAAAATCTTTGAGTGACCGGTTTTACCATACTCATTTTCCCAATTAGACTGAAGTGTCAAAAAAAACATTAGGAAAACAAAAATGAAATTTTTATTTCCAATCATAAATATCTTGATAATCAGACAGGCCATGCATCTAAAATATATGCTGGAGCAAATCTCGGATCGTCGTCCTACAAGCTAGAATCAACAACATGGATCTCATACCTCCTTGCCGTCTCGCCTCCACACTGCATGTAGCCTAGTGGTCTGGTCCAGGCCTACACTCAACAAGAAATTCCCATCAGGGTTCCAAGCTAGGTCCTGGACGCCTGAGTAGTGACCGCTGACCACCTCTGACGGACTCCACGAGCTTGGACCCTGAAGCAAGAAAAGAATTCAGAAAAAATTTGGAAGGATGACCTCAATTATAAACATTCCATAAAGCTCTCTGAATCCCCATGCCAGCAGGGCTTTATTTTTTTACCTGCAAATTAGCGCAGTTGTTGGTGAAGAGTACGTCACTAATTGCCCATACACTTTTTTTAATATTGATTGTTGTTGACAATACTTTGACATAAGCATTAATCATTGCAATAACAAAAATCTTTCAAATGCTGCATGGATATTCTTCAAACTGGTCATGAGGAATATCTTGGTTTTATTTTTGACGAAAAAATTATCAAAAATTCAAGGAATGCGATCTGCAAAGCACTTTCTCAAAAAGGTATACAAAGGATGCCAGAGACCAAAAGACGGTACCTTAGCAGCATCTTTGTTCCCGACATCAGCATCGACAGCCAATATAGGTTATTAAAGGCTCTATTAAGCAACCTGGGAGAAGTTGTGACACTGGACTGTACATGTATTTATAAAACAGATAGAAAGTGTTCTTTTTAATCTTAACAACGTAATTCTAATAATAGTAGTGAACATTCATAATGCGCCATGTCTGTTGTCAGAGTAAAATGGGAAATTTGTTCTTATTTTATTTGTTTTCCTATTTTCAAGGTCATCTAGACATTAGAGGGCGTTAGTGATAGAAAATATTTCGCTTGTCTGAATATATGCAAATTAGGGTGTGGTGCCGAGAATGCTTAAAGGTGTGTACGTGTGGACTTAAATCAGGGCAGTTGACTAGAAGACGAGGTTGTAGCTGGACGTGTGAGAGGTCTTGAACATGTACCCTTATGTGTGTTGTGGAAGTTGCTACCAGAACCTTGATTTTGTATTCGGCGCAAGCAGTCCTTTTCCTCAGGCGACACCGGTACGAGAGGTATCCTCCATGTAGCCCAGAACCTCGATTTTCCTGCCATTGGCAAAATTTTGTCAACATAACTGTAACAAGAAAAGACAACTCTTCCCGGGGCCCCGGCCAGTGTCTCCGGGCTCGTTCGCTTCGCAGCGTTCGGCCGCCGCAAGTAGCTTTCTATACATAACCTATGTGTGATAATGAGATTCAGATAATTTACATGTTTACAGTGTGCAAGAAGCACCACGTTAGAGCAAATTAGCTCGTATGTGTATCAAAAGTAATTATTCACGAACACGTGACGAAAGAGCCGTTCATGAAATATCGTTCTCCTGAGCGTCGTTCGATAGGGATAATTATATACGTTTATTGATATAAATGCTTTAACGCTTCATGCATACATTTTGAAATTATATGTAAAAGAACATTATATTTTGTGTTAATGAATTAACGCAGTACAACCTAGTAGTAATGATGAGAAACAAGTTATTATTGAAATTATTGTGCTAGAAATGACTTAATTTCTCTAACGAATTTTTATTGACATAACGAAATTCTTATAATGATTGATTAAGTTTGTGGGTCATCATCCTTCCGACACAAGTCTCCAGGGATCTATTCCTCGTAGAAACCATGTCGGTTTTGGATCTTCTGATATAGCAATTAAATCTATTTTTGCCCGGGTCAGTTAGATTGGTGACCCTAGTTAATAATGAAATGAAAGTGTAGTGGAAGGAAACCATGTTGGTTTTGTTATAACCGGATAAAGAAAGTCTGGTGAAATAACCTTTATTATTTCATCGTTTGCTTTATTCGAAAATGAGTATTAGAAATAAGCGTTGAAACCGTAGAAATTAAATATCATGTATTTTGAAGGATATATTGATAATTTCATTTATATCCGTAAGAGCGGACAAGAACGTTCTTCACTACTAACTAGTAGCACGCTGAGCGTCGTCAAATAAGCATCCAAGCATCGAATCGTCGAATTAGCATCCAAGCATCGAATCGTCGAATTAGCATCCAAGCATCGGATCGTCGAATTAGCATCCGAGAACCGCCGAGTCAGTATATCCGGGATCTTGAAGCACGTGACCGATTGCCGTAACAAGCGATTACGGGACATCAACCTTCACAAGTCTCCAAGCATCGAATCGTCGTAGGAACCATGTCGGTATTTGATCTTTTGATATAGCAAATACCAAGCAAAAGGCTTTCGCCTTATTTCGGACAATTGTCTTAATTTCGGACACTTTAAAAACTGGGAAGTTAACTTGTACGAATTACACTCGTGGGTATTGGAATAATTAAATGACTGTACGTATTTGTAATATTTGTGTAACAGCAGATTTATATGAATTGGGAAATTAACTTTAGACGGGATTACACTTTTGGGTATTGGAGTAATTAAATGACCGTACGTATATGTAATATTTCTGTAACAGCAGATGTCTATGAATTTAGATGTTGGTGTAGTTGTCAAATAAAAGTCTGTAAAACTCATTTATGAGAGTCGTTGTGGCTATTTTGTATATCTTGACAATAATTGGCGACCTTGCCAGGACTGGCGAAAAAAAAATTAAAATTGTTGGGATTACAAAAGGATATGATATTTAGCTGGGATTTCTAATATTTGAACGACTATAGGATATTTCTGGAACTTGCATTTAATATTTATAGTATGCATATGTTTATGTATAATATTTTCTTTGTATGTTACCTACTGTATAACAGGTTAGAGTTAATCAACTGGAGGTACATGCAGGATACCTGGTGACTGGTGCACGTTCGCCTTCCACATCGTCGCTCTCCACGCGCTGCTAAATTGTTTCTGGCTCTGGTGGTAAGTTCTCATTTGAATGACTGTGAGTGTTTGACATGGATGTCGAAAAGTTAGTAACAATTGGGGAATCTTTGGGTCTCACAGGTTTAGAATTAAGGGATTTCTTAAAGGTAGAACAGGACAGAGAGAGGGATAAGAGAGCAGAAGAGCGTGAGCGATTGAAGGAGGAAAAAGAATTGGCAGAAATTAGGTTGAAAATAGAAAGTGTAAAGCTTGAGCAACGAGGTAACCAGGATAGTAATAACAGTACTCATAATATTCGTCCCCCTAAACTTCCCTCATTTGTTTGTGGTAAAGACAAATTAGATGTTTATTTACTTAGATTTGAACGTTATGCGGTTGCGCAAAAGTGGCCGTCAAATGTTTGGGCTGTAAATTTAAGTGCTCTGTTAACGGGAAAAGCCTTGGACACTTACTCCCGGTTGAGTGAAGACGATGCTCAAGATTATAATGTAGTGAAGACAGCGATATTGCAGCGGTACTCGCTTACTAGTGACGGTTTCAGAAAGAAATTTCGGAGTTCGAAACCTGATTCGGGTGAGACAGCCGAGCAATTTATCATCAGGCTCAGGAGTTATGTTGATAAATGGATTGAGATGTCGGGACGCCAGAAGACGTTCACCGATGTAGTGGAGCTGTTCCTCATAGAGCAGTTTTACACTACCTGCTCGAAAGATATGGAGACTTTCATAAAGGAACGAAAGCCGAAGGGACTCAAGGAGGTCATAGAGATTGCCGACTGCTTTGTAGAAGCAAGATCGGGATGGCAGGGTGGGACTGGTAAGTCACACACCATTAAACCCACTTCTCCTCCTCTGCATGCAGGCTCGAAACCAGCAGGCTCGAAACCATCAGACAGGTCGCAAAGCCGTCCTGGGGGTTGTTTTATCTGTGGGAAACTAGGGCATCAGGCAAAGCATTGCACGCAACGGAAGAGGAAAGAGGTTGCAGCTGCGGGAGCTGAGATTCAGAGTGAATCGGACAGGACGTCGAGCATGCCGAAGCAACCTCAGAGACAGGTCCATGACAGAGATACAGATTCACTTCCGGAGTCGACTGGTCGGGATAAAAGAAGGGTGAATCGTCATGAGTCGGAAATGTACGATGTTAATGCATGTTTGGTAATAGTGTCTTGTTTCTCATGTACAGATGTAGAAGGAGAAGTCACTGGGATACAATCGGAGTTGGCATTGCCGATAGTTAGTGTTGCTGGTGGAGCTAAACCCCTCCAGCTTATGCCAGTCAAAGAAGGGATCATCAACGGCAAGCGTGTCAAAGTCTTGAGGGATAGCGGATGTTCCACAACATTTGTGAAGATGGGACTTATCAAGCCAGACCAATTTGCTGGGGAAGAAAGGAGGTGCCTCATGATAGATCGTACTATGAGGACGTTCCCCGTTGCTAAGGTAACGCTTGACTCTCCCTTCTTCATTGGTGAGGTGGAAGCATTGTGTGTGGATAATCCTATCTATGATGTAGTTCTTGGGAATATTCCAGGTGTTCGAGAACCGAAGGATCCGGACGAAGACTGGAATGGTGATACATGTCTAGCTGTAGAGACAAGAAATCAGCGGAAGAAAGAAAGCAAACCTATCCAAAAGTTGAAGGTACCAAAGCAGACTGACGTTGCTACCGCTGAAGAATTCCGAAAAGAGCAAGCTAATGACGCAACGTTGGGGCGTATACGAGAGCAAGCCGAATCGGGAGTAGTCAAGACGACTAGAAATGGGAACCGGTCACTCTTTCGAAGAAAACAAGGATTGTTATATCGCGAGTTCCAATCCGCATCAGGTGATGTCACCCATCAGTTAGTTGTTCCTTGTAAATTCAGAGGACAGATTCTGCGGCTTGCACATGAGTGTCTATTGGGTGGGCACCTAGGATCACATAAAACCGCAGAAAGAATCTTACAGAATTTCTTCTGGGGTGGTGTAAGAGCGGACACATCTCGATTTTGTAGGTCGTGTGATGTGTGCCAGCGCTCAGTGTACAAGGGTACGGTAAGGAAAATACCATTGGGGGTTACTCCCTTAATTGATGAGCCATTTCACCGTGTGGCTGTTGACATTGTTGGCCCTATCGCTCCTATGACGTCACGAGGTTGTCGGTATATACTGACGCTCATGGACTACGCGACAAGGTATCCTGAAGCTGTTCCACTTAAGAACATAGATACAGTGTCCGTAGCGGAAGCTCTTTTCAGCATCTTCACTAGAGTTGGATTTCCCCATGAGATGTTAACTGACCGTGGGACACAGTTCGTGTCAGATGTGATGCAAGAAGTGAATAGACTAATGTCAGTACGCCACCTTACTACAACTCCCTATCATCCGGCCTGTAATGGTCTCGTTGAGAAGTTTAACGGGACGCTTAAACAGATGCTTAAGAAGATGGCGGAGGAGAGACCCACTGACTGGGATCGATATATAGATGCACTCCTCTTCGCATATCGCGAAGCACCTCACGACAGCACAGGATTCTCTCCATTCGAACTTCTCTATGGACGAGAGGTGAGGGGCCCCTTGATGATCCTGCGGGAACTTTGGGCAAATGATGAAAGCACGGATGCTGAGACAAAAACCACATACCAGTATGTGATGGATCTGTGTGAGAAGTTGGAAAATACAGTCCAGCCTGTGAAAGAGCAACTGACGAAATCGCAGTCTGCGTATCGAGCGCAGTACAACAAGAAAGCCAAGGCTAGGTCTTTCAAGGTTGGAGATGAGGTGTTACTACTACTTCCTACAGACAGGAATAAGTTACTGATGCACTGGAAAGGCCCTTTCAAGGTAGTAGGTAGAGTTGGTAAACTCGACTACAGAGTTGACCTTGCTGGAATTCGGATGCTGGAATAAAATATCCAGCAGTAGCAGGTGTATCTGTCATTGAAGAAATTGACGAGGTCAATGATGACGAAGATGCACAGACGACAACCAAGATGAGGGTAAACGAGCAACTCATCGAAGTCCCCAGCCTGAGACAGACTCAGACAGTTGCTGATGTCTGCATTGGAGACACACTTTCTGAGGAGCAGAATAATCAGCTGAGGCGACTTATCGGTAATTATTCGGACGTTTTTACAGATGTTCCTAGCGTGACCAGTTTGGGTCATCACGACATCAAGTTGACAGATCCTCGACCGGTAAAGTCCAAGCCATATCCTCTTCCTCACGCTCTCCGACAGGTGGTTGGTGACGAAGTCAGAGATGCTCGAGCTTGGGGTGATTGAGCCCTCATCATCCCCATATGCCTCTCCGGTGGTTTTGGTCAAGAAGCCGGACGGGTCTAACCGATTTTGCTGTGATTACCGTAAGCTGAATATGAACACAGTATCAGACGCAGAGCCCATACCTGACCAAGAGGAAATCTTCACTGCGTTAGCGAAGGATCACTACTTCAGCAAACTGGATCTCACTAAAGGATACTGGCAAATTCCCCTTACTGAGAATGCCAAACCCCGTACAGCCTTTATCACCCCTAATGGCCTTTTCCAATTCAAGACAATGCCATTTGGTTTGATTAATGCCCCGGCCACCTTTAGTAGAGTTATGCGAACTTTACTTCGTGATCTTGATGGAGTTCATAACTTCATTGATGATATCTTGGTACACACAGTTTCTTGGGAGAAACATCTTGAGGTTCTGAAAGAACTCCTAAGTCGCTTACGCACAGCCAATATGAAGGCAAAGCCGAGCAAGTGTAGTCTTGCTCAAGAGTCTCTAGATTTCTTGGGACATAGGGTTGGTGGTGGAAAGCTCCAACCAATGACGAATAAGATTCAGGCGGTACAAGAAGCACCAAGACCCGAAACGAAACGACAGCTGAGGTCATTTCTCGGCCTAGCGAGTTACTATCGGAAGTTCGTACCTTGTTTCGCAGAAATAGCCGTACCCCTGACGAATCTGACAAAGAAAGGCAAATCAAACACCGTAGAGTGGGGAGAGACTGAAGAGAGAGCTTTTCGATGTCTCAAGAGCAAGATCTCAAATGCTCCAATCTTGCATCTGCCTGATGTCGACCGCCCATTCATACTTCGAACTGACGCCTCCGAGACTGGTATAGGTGCAGTCTTATTACAGGAGTTCGACGATGAAAAGTTTCCGGTGGCGTTTGCAAGTAGAAAGTTGTTGGATCGAGAAACGAGATACTCTACCATCGAGCGAGAGTGTCTTGCTGTAGTCTGGGCAGTACAAAAATTCGAAGCCTATCTCTACGGTAGGGAATTCGTACTCGAGGTTGACCACGAACCTCTTCGCGCTCTTCGTCGAGGGAAGCTCGCGAACGGACGTGTACTCAGATGGGCGCTTGCCTTACAGTCTTACAGATATCGCGTACAAGCGATAAAGGGTAAAGAAAACGTAGGAGCAGATTATATGAGTCGTATTTGCTGAATATAAAGGGAATGTAGAAATACACATTTTGTGTTGGTTAGTGTTAGAGTCCCAAAATATTTTCTGAAAAAGGGGGTAAATTGTCAGAGTAAAATAGGAAATTTGTTCTTATTTTATTTGTTTTCCTATTTTCAAGGTCATCTAGACATTAGAGGGCGTTAGTGATAGAAAATATTTCGCTTGTCTGAATATATGCAAATTAGGGTGTGGTGCCGAGAATGCTTAAAGGTGTGTACGTGTGGACTTAAATCAGGGCAGTTGACTAGAAGACGAGGTTGTAGCTGGACGTGTGAGAGGTCTTGAACATGTACCCTTATGTGTGTTGTGGAAGTTGCTACCAGAACCTTGATTTTGTATTCGGCGCAAGCAGTCCTTTTCCTCAGGCGACACCGGTACGAGAGGTATCCTCCATGTAGCCCAGAACCTCGATTTTCCTGCCATTGGCAAAATTTTGTCAACATAACTGTAAGTAGCTTTCTATACATAACCTATGTGTGATAATGAGATTCAGATAATTTACATGTTTACAGTGTGCAAGAAGCACCACGTTAGAGCAAATTAGCTCGTATGTGTATCAAAAGTAATTATTCACGAACACGTGACGAAAGAGCCGTTCATGAAATATCGTTCTCCTGAGCGTCGTTCGATAGGGATAATTATATACGTTTATTGATATAAATGCTTTAACGCTTCATGCATACATTTTGAAATTATATGTAAAAGAACATTATATTTTGTGTTAATGAATTAACGCAGTACAACCTAGTAGTAATGATGAGAAACAAGTTATTATTGAAATTATTGTGCTAGAAATGACTTAATTTCTCTAACGAATTTTTATTGACATAACAAAATTCTTATAATGATTGATTAAGTTTGTGGGTCATCATCCTTCCGACACAAGTCTCCAGGGATCTATTCCTCGTAGAAACCATGTCGGTTTTGGATCTTCTGATATAGCAATTAAATCTATTTTTGCCTGGGTCAGTTAGATTGGTGACCCTAGTTAATAATGAAATGAAAGTGTAGTGGAAGGAAACCATGTTGGTTTTGTTATAACCGGATAAAGAAAGTCTGGTGAAATAACCTTTATTATTTCATCGTTTGCTTTATTCGAAAATGAGTATTAGAAATAAGCGTTGAAACCGTAGAAATTAAATATCATGTATTTTGAAGGATATATTGATAATTTCATTTATATCAGTAAGAGCGGACAAGAACGTTCTTCACTACTAACTAGTAGCACGCTGAGCGTCGTCAAATAAGCATCCAAGCATCGAATCGTCGAATTAGCATCCAAGCATCGAATCGTCGAATTAGCATCCAAGCATCGGATCGTCGAATTAGCATCCGAGAACCGCCGAGTCAGTATATCCGGGATCTTGAAGCACGTGACCGATTGCCGTAACAAGCGATTACGGGACATCAACCTTCACAAGTCTCCAAGCATCGAATCGTCGTAGGAACCATGTCGGTATTTGATCTTTTGATATAGCAAATACCAAGCAAAAGGCTTTCGCCTTATTTCGGACAATTGTCTTAATTTCGGACACTTTAAAAACTGGGAAGTTAACTTGTACGAATTACACTCGTGGGTATTGGAATAATTAAATGACTGTACGTATTTGTAATATTTGTGTAACAGCAGATTTATATGAATTGGGAAATTAACTTTAGACGGGATTACACTTTTGGGTATTGGAGTAATTAAATGACCGTACGTATATGTAATATTTCTGTAACAGCAGATGTCTATGAATTTAGATGTTGGTGTAGTTGTCAAATAAAAGTCTGTAAAACTCATTTATGAGAGTCGTTGTGGCTATTTTGTATATCTTGACATCTGTCAAAAATGACACTCCTAGCACAGTTTTTCTAGGGGCTATAGTTTAAACTGCACCATCATTAATTGTTCTATCCAACTTAACCTCTGCTTTCCATGATGTCTTGGGTGCCATCATGGTCCAGAAATGGAAAGTTTTCTTGCGATCCTTCGGAGTCGTTCTTTGGGGGATAAAGGTAATGGTACAAATTGTACATGTATGTTTTACTACAAAGTGTTCCATCAGACTTACCCGTCCTTCCCCTGATGCCTTGGGCGCCTCCTTGGTCCAGAGATGGAAAGCACCCTGGTAGCCATGTGATAGGATAGCCTCACCATCCGGGCTAAACTGACAGCCATACAGCCCCAGGGTATTACCTCCTACTTCTCCCACTCGAACCTGTCCAAGGTTAAATAATAATAATAATAACTTCTACTTTATATACTTGTATATCAAAGTGCTTTACAATATTGATGCAAGTAAAACTAAACAGAGAAATGACAAGAGAACACAAGTGAAATTATCACACATAAGATAATAAGGTAAGGTAACAATTTAAGAACTACTGGTAGGTTGAATATGCCTTTTCCATTAGATTCGCTTTTAGTTTAAAAAAAAAAAGAAGTAATATCAGAGATGCAACAAATGGAGGCTGGAAGAGAATTCCACAAACGTGGAGCAGAGCATGAAAAGGACCTATCACCAAAGTATTTTGTTTTTGCTTTTTTAATGGTCAAGAGAGTTTGATTTGCAGAACAAAGGAGCCTATTTGGCCAATGACAGAGTCTTCTCATTCTACACTATATCCCAAGTTGGCCACCCAATATTAAAATGTGCATCTTCTTTTTTATCTTCATATATCAAATTGAAATCCAACTACATTGTACCACATACATCTGTAAATCTTGATGCACACCCCCTCTTTCTTTCTTTTTCTTTTCTCTCTCTCTCTCTCTCTTTCCCCTTTTACCAACATTTGTTCCTCCATATTCGTATAATTATGTATCCATTGAGGGTAGTCATGCTATCAAGCTTTACTTATTTTGTCAACCCTCCTGTTTGATTTTTGTTGTTGATTAGTCACAGTCAGCCTTACTTTATTCGACATTATATTATTTTGAAATGTGTAAAATTTGCAATGGTTTGTTTGTTATATATTTGTAAAAATGCAAAAGAAAAAGAAAATCAAACAGAAATAAATCAATCAAATCAAAATCAAATTATGGCTTGTTCACACATGACTCAGGAAGTGAAGGATTCTGTTTCTATTATTTTTTTATTTTTTTTGTGGGTTTATACTAGATAATTGGGAAGCAGGGATGGAGCTGCACACAACAAATTTTCCTACACGTACTCACTGTGTTTTATAGGATACAGAAATGTCAAGCATATTATGCTTACTGTACATGTAAATCCTTATAAAAATAATTCACTGCGGCTTACAGCATCACATGTTTATCCATAGGAGATTAGAACATTTTCTTGTAACATTCTTTCCTGATTGTTTGATACAAGGTGTTCTTGGACTATACACAAGAAATTAAATGTAACACATATATATATGTACAAACAGTCATTCGAGTGTCATGTATAAGATTAGGTACCTGCATACAAATACATGTAAACAATTCAATTGCAAACAAATTTTGGAAGATGTTGTGAAACAGCATATATGAAAAATCAAATATTTAAAAGGAGAGGAAATAAATATCCACTGATGACCCATGAACTGCCTTCATGGAACCAAAAGTTTATTCTCACCTCGTCGATCCACATTGCATTTTGGTCATCAAACCTCCAGATAATCATGGTCTTGTCCATCGAGGCTGACAATAGGCACAAAGGCTGGTGATATTTACCATTTCCTAAAAGTAAGAATAGAGATAACCAACCAAATAGATTGAAATATTTCATTGAGTACAGGAAGGATTTGAGCTGACATCTCCAGTCTTGTTTTTTAAAAATCTTGTTTTGTTTGACTGTGTTTTCGGTTCGGTTACCATTTCCATAGAGTAAATTCACAATGTGTAAGCTAAATGCATCAATTACATGTAGGTGGTTGCATCTTAAAGTGACTTGGTAACATTGTTGAAGGTTGATGAAAAAATTGCTTAATTTTTGTATAAAATGTTACTTACTATATTCCTTCTACTATACTAAACCTCTGACATGCAAAAAATCGTGAAAAAATTCTCAAACCACAGAGATATCTATGGTTTTCTTTGAAGGAGTCGATGTATGACACCCTCTAACAGTGATTAACAGTAAATTCTCCCAACCATTTTTGAATTTTCCTAACCGTTTTTTCCATGAAAAAAAGACATAAAACAGGCTATAAAAAATCTGTCAACACTTAAAGGTCTGGAATGGAATGTAGAGCCATTTTATTGCTTTGTGACGATTTCCTTTCACCTAAAATGTAATTAAATTATAATAATATAGTTGGGAGAATTAAGGAATCAATCAGATCAGTTTTTCCCAATTTGTACCATGAATAATGGTCCGTTTTCACTCAAATTTTCAGATTATCTTTAATTGTAAATCTAGCATTGAAGTCACTACCTTAGCACCACTATCTCTCATCTGAATAATGTTACCACGTCCCTTTAAGAAATCCACACAGAAAAAAAAATACTGGTTAACAACGACTACAACCAAACAAAAACCCCAGTTCATTTAATAACTTTGCCTCTTGATTACTGAATTCTTTCATTCTAATGTACATATAATACAAGGACTAACTGGTTCTTATGAGCAATGGGTTCAAGCCAAGCCATTTTGTTGTAAAAGTAGGTTTTTGTGAGATTGATATCCATCTAAGACACAGGGCACTTACTCCGTTTTGTGTCATGGTTGGTAAAATTCTCGCAGTGACGTAGCATATATACGGTTAAAGGGAAGGTTGAGTTCTGTTGCAGAGGGTGCTACACAAAATAATTTTTTTTGTGAGATTTTTTTTAATGACAAAATCATATTTGTTTGATCAAAATCGGTTCAGAGACGGCTGAAATATCCATAAATATAACGATTTCTAATACTTGTCAGGGTGCTACAAGAATTTTTTTCACCACTTGCCCTGTCGGGCAAGTGGGTTTTCAATTTACTTGCCCAAACAATATTTCCACTTGCCCAAAACTTTAAAGCGAAAAAGGACTCGAGGTTAAAGCATTTATTATCTCGTAATGATAAGTTAGTGTTTTAGATAGCAAATTAATGCACATACATGTACAGTGTAACTGTACTGAATAATAACCTAATATGTCAAAGAAAATGGTCAACAAAGGATGGTTGAAGGTTTAAAAAACGCATTTTATTGATTCTCCATAAATAATCAGATTCACATGAATCTCGGCAAGGTAGAATGGTTCAAGCAGGTTTAAGTTTTTAATATTCAGTCATGTAAAAAAGCATAATGACCCTGTTGTAAAAAATATGATACAAACATGTCATTAATGGTAGCCACATGTACCATGGTGCAACATCACATGATCAGCAGTATGACAAGGATTCCACATGATTGTGTATTGAAATTTGTAAATTCTTACTAAATAATAATATTGAAGATATTTTACGATAAATCTCGGATAAGTATGCGAAAACTAGACTAAACAACGTCGCTAAAACCATGAAAACAAAACAACAACGGCTTATATTCTGGGGTCTCGATACTATTATCAAAATGACTCGCTCGGTCGGATCTTGAGACCGCAGTAATAAATTGAAAACGAGACAAAAACATTCATCTGATTTATATGAGCAGCGAGTTTTAAATAATATGTTCACAATCATTAACAGTCATTATGAATAAATATCAAACATTTGACTTTTTGTACTTACTAGAAAATCCCTGTTGTTTATTCCATTCCGATTCGCACGTGTTCATTTCCCTAGAATAACGACGTCATATTTGGCGTGATTCAACCAATCGGCAATCAGAGAATAGCAAAGGCCTGTCGGTGCGGCCTGCAGAGCTAGAGAGAGAGAGCGCGAATAAGCTTGGAGCTGGTACGATCGCGCTAGCTGTCTCTAGCTAGCTCACGGCCGGCCGTGCGTGGAGGCGGAGCGGCATTCATGGCTTGAAGTGTCACTGTTGCATGCGCGCTGAGCTAGCTGAGCTGGCTAGCTGTCTGTGAAGTTTTTTCGAAATCGGAACGATCGCTTTTTTGCTTCTGGATTTTGACGACGGGTAAGAAGTTGACGGGTGAATGGTAGAGTTCTTGGACACTAGGAAATTACTGTAAAAGTATCACTTGCCCGAATCGGGCAAGTGATAATTTGATTTACTTGCCCGACGGCTCAATTTGGTTGCCCCGGGACGTCGGGCAAGCGGGTTTGTCGCGCCCTGCTTGTGTACCACCACAAATATTAGATAATTTGAACCAGCCGTTGAAAGCCGTTGAAAAAACAAAATAGCGCCTTTTATGTTGTATTTCAGCCAATGCCGATGTTGGGTTTTTTGTTGGCTTTTTCGTGTTGGTTATATTACGCACAATCAGCCAGCCCATGTATTATTATTATTAATTAATTAATTAATTAACGGTCACCATATTTTTTGGATCGTATTGGCTAAATTTCACACATTTTGGGGTCTAAAATTACCTTCTTAGCAATTTTAGGTCATAAAAGGGCACTAGTAATGTCATAGATAAGAATAAGAGCAATATCCATGCAATTTGAAGGCAATTGCGATCTGAAAACAGAACTCAACTATCCCTTTAATAAAATCTTCATACAGCTTTACGTACCCTTCCTGGATGGCTTTTGCCAGTGTACTGCATAGATCCACTGCTCATGACCAGCTAATACAGACTCCAGGCTCACAGCATACCTCTGCTCTGAAACTACATAGATTGTACAAATTGGTTAATGATAAAGTTGAGTACTTGATCTAAGTGCATGTCACAAGCCTGATTGTAATTTGAGTAAAATCGCATTGCAAAAGCCTGAATAGCAACTAGCATTGTAATTGTACATGTATCTGTAAACACTGCATTAATAATTGATAATAATAATTATAGGCATTTCTACAGAAATTCTATTCCGAGGCGCATTAATTATTACACCGACTGTAGCCCAGCTGCCATTACAGCGCTCCAGCATTTCAAGGAATTAATTCCTGCCAGGTACCCATTTTCCTCACCTGGGTCGAGTGAAGCAAATGAAGACTAATGCCTTGCCAAAGGACATTAGCGCCGTGTCGGGGATCGAACCACAACCTTCGAATTTCAAGTCAAGTGCTTAAACCACTCGACTACGACACTCCTATTAACTGTAAACACTGCATTACTCAGGTATGATAGTGAGCACTAAAAAAAAAGAATTTTTTTTCCCCCTCAACCACACCCCCCTTGAGTAAAAAACAAAGAAGAAGAGGAATAGGAGGGGGGGGGGAATAGCATCTAACAACATTCCCCCCTTTGAGTAAGAAAATTGGGGGGAAATAGGGAAAAATAGAGGAAATAAGGGGAAAATTGGGGAAAAAAATATTTTTAAAAATCAGGAAGAAAAAAAATCTGGTAACAAATATCTGGATTTTTTTTTAGAAATCAGGAAACAGATTTAAATTGGGTAATTATCAGGCCTGATTACTGAAATCTTACCTTGATGAAACACGGTGAAGGTATTCTTCTTGAGTTGGATCTCTGTATCTTGAGCAGCTTTGAGTCTGCTTGCTGATATCCTCCACACCCTGATGAAGCAATCTTGGGCACATGACGCTAAGAGAATATCACCATCATCTGAACACCACCAAAGCAAAATACAATCCATCTATTACTGGTACTCCATTTATAGTAAATGCAAAACAATACAGAACAGGGGGGTGTTTCACAAGTTGGACTTAAAAAATATGGAGAGCCATTTGTAGCCTTAAAATAAAATATATTCAAAAGCAAAAATTCAAGTATTTTAGACTTTTCATAAATTCCACATCAAGAACATGAAATTTCACATGATAAATGAAAATATGAATGATTTGAATCAACATTTTAAGCTTTTTAAAATAATTTTAGAAAATTTTTTTTCAAAGGTGCTAACGGCTTTCCATAATTGTTAAGTCCAACTTAGAGATAAGTTCGGCTAAGGATTTGTGTGAAACACCCCTCAGAATGGTTTACTGAACAATGCAATCCAGAGCTACCAAGTGTCACACATTATGCGTGACTAGTCTCGCATCAAGGGTCTGAAAAGGCTGTCATGCATGGCAACCATTTTTGTCAAGCATCAGGTCCAGACTGGGAAGAGAAAAAAAAAAGGTAGTAATTGCTAGACTACATACTGGCTGACCGCCTCGAGGCCTCAGCTAGCTCCTTGCAGGGCTCGTGTACGTATATCGCATGCACGTCGTAGCATGCATGCAGGCCGGTTATCACGTCGCGTCATGCGTGTGTGCGATTTTTCGAAACGTATACTATATGTACGCTATACACTGTACCCTCGTCCGCGCACTGGCACGGCGAGTCATTAAAAAGTTCACGCATAGTAGTGAGCACAATTTTTTTTTTTTGGTCCTTGAAAATTTAAAAATTTGCACCCCCCACCCCCCCCCCCCCCTTGATCGCCAGAGGGGGGGGGGGGGGGGGCCCAACCCTCCAAAAAGGTAAAAATTACGTGTTTTTACATGATTTTTTTTCTCAAGGGGGAGGGTGGGGGGGCAGGCCCCCCGTAAATCCGCCACTGGTGTAAACCCCGTCCCCTAATCCAGAGGAGGCATTAACACTTGGCCAAAAATGTCATCGCTCTCAGGTCATATTGTAACTAAACTTTTATTTTAATATTTCTTACCATCATGCGTGAAATCCAGTCCTCTAATCCAGTCCTCGTGACCAGAAAGACTCTGTACTCTGGTGAAGACACCATTGGACTCTGTGTATAAGTGCACCTTGCAGTCATCGCCACCCACAGCTAGCAGGGGAACTGTGTATTAAGTGAAATCAAAAGAAATTTATGTTGAGATGATCAGTCAGTATGACAAAACAATGCAGGCTTTGTGAAGTGTTGAATTTATACACTTTCGAGGGCCCTAAATAAACACAAGGTATGACAAGAATGAGTCAGCATACACATAAAGGTCCAGTTTTGTTGCATTATAGCTTTTGATTGATGCTGCATATTTTTCTATAAGAATAGAAATCCCTCTACAAGTACAAATTGGGAACATTATTTTTACAAAAATGTGTATAACTTTGAACGTTTGTCTTAGTTTCTATCAATATATATTCTTTTTAAAACCTTAAATGTAGAAATAGAAAATTACAAATCCTACCAACTTTTATTAGAAGGTTAATCAACTGAAGGGCTTGTTACATATCAAGGAATTGATAATAGCACTGATCGTGATCAAATCAATCTCTGTAGGAAATGTATGTACATGTATGATGCTCACTGATTTATGCTAATAAGCCTTCAGCAGTGATTCTCTTGGATCTAATGCATTTTCTGCCTTATTTTATCATCATCTTCAAATTGTTAATTTTGGGACGATCCCTTTAAAGCCCCACTGTACTACTTGTAGCTACAATGTACTTGCTCCCTCTATATAGAGGATAACCACCCGTCAGTGACCTTGCTCCCTCTTGACGCTACTTCACTGGAGGGCTTCAAGGGAGCGCTTCCACCAAGCATCTAGACCAAGAACTAGATAGTTTATTCCTTAGCACTACATCCTGACTTATGGATCCTGCTGAGTATCGTCGTAGAAGTAGAAGTAGAAGTATAGAAAACAATGCCTTAGCAATGCCCCTTGGTCCCCCATGATCCTCTTTTTCCTATGTTTATTGAGAGCTGACTTGATGAGATAACCACCTGTCAGTGACCTTGCAGGGTGGTCTAATCCCCCTGGCCAAACTAGTAGAGACAGCTTTAAAAAAATCAGTCCTGAACAATGATTGAACCTACCATTGCCGCTACTGATGACTGTCATTGCCACATCCACAGCAAAGCCCGATCCAAATGAAATGCACTGCTTCTCCACAAACACAAGCTCTCCTTCTGCTCCTCCTCCTCTTCCTTCTGTTCCTCCTTGCTCCTTTCTTTCTCTCCTCTCCCATATCCTGACAGTGGAGTCAGTGGATGCACTGACAATCAGAGTTCTGTGTGTGAAGCCAGATTCAGAGGAGGTTGGAATGGCAATGGCATCTACTGCTGTCACAGATCCAGTGTGGCCAGACAAGAAACTTGATAGAGCAAGCTGCTGAAGGATGGAAGGAAGGATCAATAAATGTTAAATGCATCGTTTAACAATGTTAAATCTGAGATGCACTGCCCTACATGTTATCAGTGTCTGTGCTATGGTGTAATCTTGAAGCCCTAAAAAAAATTGCGCTTCAAAATAACCAAGAAGTGCCTCCAAAAAAAAAAAACTTTGAGTGACCGGTTTTACCATACTCGTTTTCCCAAATAGACTGTAGTGTTATGAAAACCGCTAGGAAAACGCAAAATTTTATTTCAATTAACCCTGTAAACGATCATCAGATCGGCCGCTGATACCGATCCGATCAGGGGTGATCGGATAATAATTTCCGATCGCTAATCAATTGAAATGATCGGAAAAAAATCGGCAGAATTTTTTTAAAATTTTTAATGCCAAAATTTTTCAAGTTTTTGGCTATTAAATGCTCCAAAAAATTCATGGCTGGGATTATTTTGTCATTTGGAGTTGTTGTAGACCATTTATGTTGATATTTAGTGCCTTTTCATGACTTTGAAATTAATAATGTTGGTCTAAGAGCAGAGGCAAAACATGCGGGCCGCCATCTTGGATTATAATGTAGGTATTTTTTTTTTTTTTAATGACAAAAATTTTTAAGTTTTTGGCTATCAAATGCTCAAAAAAATTAATGGTTGGGATTATTTTGTCATTTAGAGTTGTTGTTGACCATGTTTGTTGATATTTAGTGCCTTTTCATGACTTTGAAATTCATAATATTGGTCTAAGAGCAGGGGCAAAACATGCGGGCCGCCGTCTTGGATTATAATGCATATCTACATTATAATGTAATGTAATGACATTTTCGTCATTTAAAAAAAAAAAAAAAAAAAAAAATTGGCCAATTTTTTTTGTCGATCTTCCGATCCGATACGGATCATAGGTGCGAGGGTGTCGCTCCGATCTTCCGCTCCGATCAGAGCCCCAACTTACAGGGTTAATTTCAATTTCCAATCATAAATATCTTGATTATCAGACAGGCGATCGCCTTGTAAAAGGCATAGGTTCCTGACTGATTATGATTGCAGCATGAGCTAAATCCAAGATTTTGTTTCAGAATCTGAGACAAAGTTACCCAATCCCTTTAAGCCCCATCCAGACATGAAGTGGTGATCACTCCAAAGCATCAAGGCAAAGTAAAATGGAATAAATGTGGTGCATTTTCATATAGAGGCCATTCTGGCGCATTTCCAAGATTTTCCCCTCATAAACTTGACCCTCAATGCTCACTTGTACAGTCAAACCTGCTTTGGTGACCACCTGTAATCAAAGACCACCTGTATACAAAGACCACACTTGTTGTATCCCTTGAATATTTTTTTCATGCAAACCTGTACTGAAGGAACCTGTACATAAAGACCACCTGCCTACAAGGACCACTTTTCAGGTTTCCCTTGAGTGGTCTTTAAAGACAGGTTTCATTGTATTTTAATTATGAGCAACTCTATTAGACATACAGTATGATATAACTTCAGGGCATCACTCCCCATTTTTCTGTACTAATCATTTATCAAAAGCAGTTAGTATCGGGGTAGACTTTCCCTTTAATCCCTTTGTTCTACTTCTTACCTCACTAACTGACCCACGCCAGAGAATAAGAGCACCATCAGTTGACCCAGATACAAGTTCCTCGTCTAAGTCCTGGACTTGCCCATGGTCTGATTCGCTGGACTCTATCCACCTTACACAATTGACTCGATCCTTGTGACCACTTAGTACGAAGGACATTGGAAGCATCCCATCAATCTAACAAAGAGAAAAAAGGGAAATAATCAAACTCAAATAAATTAAAAATGATAGATACATAAGTATTACTAATAAAAGTGTTAGAAATAAAATAAGCTGATTTTTTTTAAAACAAAGAAATGAATGAATAAATGAATGTTTTTATGCATGCTGACAAGATGTATTATAAGATGGGTAGAAGAATCCCTGCAATCTGATTGGTCAATTACCATGTAATTATTTTTACTGGATGCACGCGATATCGGCGATCGATACCACCGATATCCTTTAAAAAAAAAAAAAATGCTCAAATGAAATAGATCTGTGATGATGAGTTATTTGAAATATTTTTTTTTTTTTTTTGATAATTTTTTTTTTAGTGATAATTATTTTTTTCTTCATGTTTCTATTCTATTATTTTTTTTTTTTTAAAGTTTACAGTTTAATGTGCACTGACAATTTTGTTTTTAATTTCCCGATAAGTTAAAAATCATGCTTCGGTAAAAAAATCATGCATCCGGTTATTACCGGACGCATGATTTTGCCATGCATCCGGTAAATCTGTAAAATAACAAAATTTTGTATTTTTGACAATTTTTTGGGCCCCATCTTATAAAACAGATGATGCACAGGTTTAATTTGTGGGTTAGTGGAATTGTGTGCACGCGGTACCTTTGAATTTGGTCTAAACCATTCAAAGGCACGTTGTGCACACAATCCCTACCGACGCACTCAAACCTGTGCATCATTTGTATAATGAAAACAAATCTTGTGAGTGGTGACAAACGTATCAATCTATCCAATGGTGTTTCTGAACTTTCTCGATCGTGTCAATCAAATTAAACTTGATTCTCAATGAACAGGAATTTACAGGATGAATCATCTTCCATTTAGTATTTACTAGGAAAATACATTACATTTCAATTTAAAAGAAACAACAAAATGAGTGAAATATTACGAGGTAGGATACCAAAATCACTGATGAAAATAAAGTACAAACGATTTGTACAATACTACAAAAGTACAATCGAATTGTGAACTCTATTTTCCAAACCCCTCCCTGGACTTTGACATTGCTTGCTCTTGAAGTTTAAACAACACTTCAAAACCTTTTGGATTATGCGATTTTTATTATTCCATTTTGACAAATTGGTAATTCTCCAGATTCTGCCCAAAGTAGAAAAAAAGCCTGGAAAGAGGATAGTTACGCACTATTCATCACCTTCACGGCCACTGTAACCCTAACCCTAAACCTACCCCTAAAATTTTGAACTATTCTCTTTCCAGGCTTTTTTCTACTTTGGGTAGCGTCCGTCATTCAGCACTACAGAATGCGCTTGCGCACGATCTATGCTTACTAAATTTTTTGCTGTGAGCTGGCTGCATTGGTTTTGAAAAGGGTGGATTGATATCAGGTAAAATAAAGGTGATGTGGTTATTTGGCAAACTTATGGTAGGCCTAGTACCTATTTCCCACATACTTGCAGCTTCTTCTTCTACTTTTATGGGTTGTCCATCCTCCCGAGGATTTATCCCTCATAAAATGAAAGTCTCTGTACAAAGTCAATGTATTGGCATAGACTCCCAGCAAAATACAGCATAACATACCCCACGTCACAATACACGCACGATACGAACGCACAAACGCCCAACATAAAACTTACAGCACCAAAATCAACATGTGGGACAATGCTCAAGAGAATGCGAATGGCCTTCATTCAAATTATTAAACTTTCAATAGGAAATAAGTTATCAACTTACAGAAATTTTTGTTATCGCTACCGAGTTTGAAGTACCGATGGCAATCTGGCCATTTTTCCCCCATTGAACGCAATTTGGCACGCGATTGCACGCAATCGCGTGATATTCAGTTCGTAGAGATCCCATCACGTTTGACGTTGTATGGTAAGCCAAATGTGCCAAATCCTAGAGGGGAAAAAGTTTTTTTTTTTTTAATTAATTAATTAATTCATTCATTGATGTATTCATATGGAGGCTGGTAAAATCAAACAGTCATGGGTGTCGATCCCGGGGGGATGGGGGGGGGGGATATATCCCCCCCAATATTTCAGGTGGGGGGTGGCCTGTACAATCATCCCCCCCCCCCCCCAAAAAAAAAAAAATAATAATAAAATAGTTCATCATAAAAAAAAAACCAAAAAAAAATTAATGATGAGAGCCCGATGAGAGTAGTTAATGGTTATTACTCGCAAGATGACAATCAATATACACATTTTGGTATCTCATTTTCATAATACAAACATATATAAATAGAAAACGAGGTAAATGAGACGACCGTATATGAGACAAGAATAAATTGAATTCTCGCTCATACGGCTTCATCAGGAATTGATGAATTTATTCAATTTATTCAATCAACAGCATCATATAAATGCAGTGCGCCAAATGCAAAGCCGCAGCGTTAAAAAGCAACGAGCTTAGTAAATGTTCAGCGTGAAGTGCAAAAGTGCAAAAGAGAAGAAGAGAGTGGGAGACTGGGCGCGTAGCCAGGTGGTGGTGGGGGTCGTCGCCCCCCCCCCCCCCCAAAAAAAAAAGAGAGAGAAAGAAAAAAGGAAGAGGACGTAGGAAGAAAAAGAGTCGAGAACGGTACAACGAATCATCTTCCTTTCTCTAATAATTTAATGAAACGTCAAAGCTTCCGCGCTTCGTGCGAAAAAAAGGGGGGGGGGACTGAATTTAGCAAGGATTAAGAGTCGAGAATGGTACAACAAATCGTCTTCTTTCTCTAATAATTTAATGAAACGTCAAAGCTTCCGCGCTCCGCGCGGGAGGAGGGGAACTGAATTCAGACAAGGATTAATAGTCGAGAATGGTACAACGAATCGTCTTCTTTCTCTAATAATTTAATGAAACGTCAAAGCTTCCGCGCTCCGCGCGGGTAGGGGGGATCTGAATTCAGACAAGGATTAAGAGTCGAGAATGGTACAACGAAACGTCTTCTTTCTCTAATAATTTAATGAAACGTCAAACTCCCCCTCCCTGCACCCACCCCCTAGGAGGTGCTCACTACCGCCCCCCCCCCCCCCCCCCCCAAAAAAAAAAAAAAAAAAAAAAATCCTGCCTAAATGCTTGAGAGGATAATAACCCAGGTAGTAAGGGCATGTGGGACCCACATGGGTCCCATATTCTCTAAAATGTTATCTTTATTGAGGGTGACTTGAAAAAGTTAAAAACTCGGAAGGGAGGGGGTGCAACCTGCCATATACGTCCTACCTCTTGGTTGCTTTGATCCATTGCCAAAAATATTTTGGCACCTATCATCCCCCCCCCCCCCCTCCCCCAACTGAGGATACAAATCATAGAGATATTTAGTAGTATATATCTCTATGATACAAATCGACACCCTTGCAAACAGTGCCCTCTATTTGAGATGAAGAAGAGAGATACCGCTCGATAAATATGCTTTACGTTTTGTTAAAAATAACAAGGACTCTATGCGTGCAGATTCTACAGCTAGTAAACTGCAAAATCACAGTTATCAGGAATTATGGAAAGAAATTAGATGCATGAATAACAATAAATCACGTTTACGGTACCTACTACCAATGAAGGTGTCACAGGAGATGCTGAAAGTGGAAAACGCATTAAGTTATAGAGAACTGCTTAATTGTGTCAAGTGTCAAGCGTGTTAAGTTAATAGTGCTTCTTTTCATGATGACATGATTGTTGCCCCTGAGGAAATTTAGGAAGGTATCGAGCAATTAGACGTCAATAAGTCATGTGGTATAAATACTATAACTGCAGTCTGCAGAACATTTGAAGTATGCATGCAAGTTCAAAATTGTTGTCTCGACTTGCTGTATATTTTTCTGGTTTTCTAATTCATGGTATTTTGCCAGATAGGATGATATTTGTCATCTTGGTTCCAGTATAAAAGGACAAAGCTGGTCGCCTTGATAGTTATATATCAATTGCATTGGCCAGTGTTCTTTCTAAAGTATTGGAGAAATTATTATTGACTAGGTTAGAACTTCATATTTCTATGAATGATCATCAGTTTTGCTTTAAAGCGAAGCATGGAACTGATATGTGTAGTTTTTTTTTCTCTAAAAGAGATAATATTGCTAGTTATTGTAGAAGAAACTCCTCTATATTTTGGTGTTTTCTTGATGCCTCCAACAGGCGCGGATCCAGGATTTCTTAGGGGGGGGGGGCCCAAATTTGAAATTATGCGAGCCAAATATTGGTACGTAATAGTGACCAACAGTGACGTAATACGGGGGGGGGGGTCGGTGCAGGGAGGGGCGATTCCCCCCCCCTCCCTCCTCCGCGAAACGCGGAAGCTTTGACGTTTTATTAAATTATTAGAGAAAGAAGACGATTCGTTGTCGAGTTCTCGACTCTTAATCCTCGTCTGAATTCAGTTTTCCCCCTTCCTCGTGAAGCGTGGAAGCTTTTACGATTCATTAAATCATTAGAGAAAGAAGACGATTCGTTGTACCGTTCTCGACTCTTAATCCTTGTCTAAATTCAGTCTCCCCCCTCCCCCTCTTGCGCGAAGCGCGGAAGCTTTTACGTTTCATTAAGCCATTAAAGATTCGTATTACCGTTCTCGCCTCTTAATCCTCGTCTAAATTTAGGTTCCCCCCCCCCCTTCCCGCGCGAAGCGCGGAAGCTTTTAAATTTCCTTAAATCATTAGAGAAAGAAGACGATTCGTTGTACCGTTCTCGAAAATAATTCTCATCGGAATTTAGTTCCCCCTCCATCCCGCGCGAAGCGCGGAAGCTTTTACGTTTCATTAAGCCATTTAAGATTCGTATTACCGTTCTCGCCTCTGAATCCTCGTCTGAATTCAGGTTCCCCCTCCCGCGCGAAGCGCGGAACCTTTGGCGTTTCATAAGATTATGAGAGAAAGAAGATGATTCGTTGTACCGTTCTCGATTTTTAATCCTTGTCTGAATTCAGTCCCCCCCCCCCCCTCCCCTCCTGCGCGACGCTGTGACGTTTCATTAAATTATTAGAGAAAGAAGCCGATGCGTTGTACCGTTCTCTATACTGTTAATCCTTGTCTGAATTTCAAAGATGTTCTTTGTCTGCTCCTGTTTCTTCCTACGTCCTCTTCCGATTTGACCGCCCCCCCCTCCCCCCCCCCCCTGGCTACGCGTCTGCGGTCAGATAAACACATTTTGATACCTTGTCTAACCCCGCAAGCGGTCAGATAAGCATTCAGGGGCCCGTCTTAGGGCCCCTGGTGGGGTCGAGGCGGCGGAGCCGGCACTGGAAGCTCAGGGGTTTTAGGCGTTTAATTAAGGTCAGATGAGCATTTTTTTTGTATACCTTATTATTTTGTGACACTGGCAGGTCACTATTTGGCGTGGGGTCCAGGGGGCGGAGCCGCCAAAAATCAGGGGTTTGAGGCATTAAATTACCGTCAGATGATCATCTAAGGGCCCGTCGTAGGGCCCTAGGTGGAATCCAGGGGGCAGAGCCCCCGGAGGCTTAGGGGTTTTAGGCATTAATCACGGTCAGATGGGCATATTTTGATGCCTCATTATTTTTTAACACTGGCAGTTAACTATTCTTTCATTCTTGCTCTCATTCTACATTATTTCTCTTTAATATACTTTTTCAAAAAAGTGGGGGTGGGGGGGGGGGGGGAGCTCGGTGCTCCCGATCCCCGCCGTACCTCGGGCACTGACATGTAGGAATCTCAAGAATCATATTTCTTGCCTGGCTGTAAATTTAGGAATTTGTCATTTTCCAACAAACACATACAAACGTATAATTTACTAAAAAGTGAGGAAAAATCTCGGAAATTATGTCATATCAGCATTATTTGTAATCCACCGTTGTGGAATTAGAAATAAACCACGTTTGAATTTGATTTCCCCCAAGCCCCCCCCCCCCCATCGGTACGCCAGTATCTCCTCTTTTCCTTTTTTCTTTCCCTTTCCTTCCTTCTCTCTTATTTTTTTGATTGGGGGGAGGGGGGGGGGGGGGTCAACAGCCTGGGAGGCAAGGCCCTTTCGCCCCCCCCCCCCGATCTCCTTTTTCCTCCTTTTCTTTTCTTCTTCCTCTTCTTTCTTTCCCTTTCTCTCCTCTTTCCCTTTCCCTTCTTTTCCTTTCTTCTCTCTTTTTTTTTTTTTTTTTTTTTTTTTTTTTGCGGGGGGGGGGGGGGCAAGGCCCGCTCGGCCCCCCCCCTGGATCCGCGCCTGGCCTCCAAAGCATTTGATACTCTCTAAAAAAAATCAAGTGATCACGGACGTCACTCCTCTGGAGAGTGAAAATGTAGTGGAAATAGAATGAACATTCACTCTTTTCTTCTTAGAGAGCACTCTAAAATCAATCGATTTTCACTCCTAAACAAGTGATCACGGACGTCACTCCCAAGAAAGTGAAAATAGAGTGAAAATTCACTCTTTTTTTTTAAGAGAGTAGAGTGAATCATGGATTGGTACTTTACAAAATGAGTAACAGGGGCATTCCTTCTTATTTAAAATAGAATATTGATATATTGGTATTGTCACCAGACTATGATGGTGAGATGGGGTAATTGTTTTCCTGGCACCTTTCAATCATGATGGTGATGGTGTTCGGCTTCGAGGTATATTGTCTCCATACTTAATTAATTTGTATATGGATGGATTATCTGTAAAATTGAATAACTGTGGTACTGGCTGTTTTGTACGTAGTACCAAAGTTATTCATTTAATGTATGCTGAATTGCTGATGATCTTGTTATTTTAGTCCATCAACTGAAGGTTCTCAGAGCTTGCTCAATGTTTGTTTTCAGTTTTGGTATAGACAATGGTGTTAAATATAATGCGAAAAAGAGTCACGTTATGATTGTGAATTGTAAAAAACTTATTGTAAGTTGCAATTTCCAGACTTGTATTTGTGTGCGGTGCTAAACTTGATGTTTGTAAAGAGACTAAGTACCTATTATTTTACTGAGGACCCGTGTGATGATAGAGATATTTATAGACAGTGTCGTAAACGTTATGTACAGGGTAATACATTGTGCAGAAAGTTTCATATGTGCTCTCGTAAAAGGTAAGGTTGAATTATTTCGAGCTTATATTGTACACCGTTATATACTGCACATGGAGTAGGTATAACAAGAGCAGTATAAAGAAGCCCACGGTAGCTTATAGTGATGCCATGAGGATGCTCTTACGAATACATAGGCACTCTAGTGCAAGCAAAATGTTTGCAGATGTGAATATACCTGCATGTCCAGCTGTTGTAAGAAATCTAATTTTAAAGTTTATTCAGAGAATTAACCTCAGACTTGTGTAAGTTCTGGTTCAGTAGCTTGTTGTCACATGTGCCAGAGAGCTATAGGTTGATTAAAGTGGATTAGTTTTTGTTTCTCTTATATCTATATGGTTCCCCTCTTACTTTTGTTCATTGTTGAATGTTCCCCTCATATTTTTGTGCATTGTTTTATATATCTACATGTAAATATTTTATATGGACCTCTGCTCTTGCAGCTGAGTCTGGAATAAATTTTGAATTGAATTGAATTGAACTTTTAAAAAAACAACAGCAGAACTTAGGTGTAGTATATGGGAGGGGAGGGGGTCTTATTATTATTTTGTTTTAATCTTATTTTCTCTTACAGGATAGGATGTAATATGGTATGTGCTCATCAACTCACTATCCTAGGAGAGGTAGTGGTCTGTGGCAGGTTACACGCCCATCAGCACAAAACATCACCAACAAAAGAGAAAAATATAATAGTAAGACAAAACGAAACCAAGCCAAGCCAAGCAAAGCCAAGCAAGACAAGGCAAGACGAGGCAATGCAACTAGACAAGGCAAGGCAAAGCAAAGCAAATTGCAAAACAAAGCATGCAAAGCAAAGCAAAGCAGAGCAAAGCAAAGCAAAGCAAAAGCAAAAGCAAAAGCAAAAGCAAAAGCAAAAGCAAAAAGCAAAAGCAAAGTAAAGCAAATTAAGAAAAAGAAAAGCAAAGCAAAGCAAAAGCAAAAAGCAAAAAGCAAAAGCAAAGTAAAGCAAAGCAAATTAAGCAAAGCAAAGCAAAGCAAAAGCAAAAAGCAAAAGCAAAGTAAAGCAAAGCAAATTAAGCAAAGCAAAAGCAAAAAGCAAAAGCAAAGTAAAGCAAAGCAAATTAAGCAAAGCAAAGCAAAGCAAAGCATGCAAAGCAAAGCAAAAGCAAAAGCAAAAGCAAAAAGCAAAAGTAAAGTAAAGCAAAGCAAATTAAGCAAAGCAAAGCAAAACAAAGCAAAGTAAAGCAAAGCAAAAAAGGCAGAACGAACAAAATAATATCTAACAAAACAAATTTCTAATGCACTGCCAAACAAAATGAAATAAAAACGGAGTGTGAGACTAGGTGAGGGTTCTAAAACAGTGGGAGGCACGGTCCATATTGCCCCTTCCCAATTACCCGTCGAAGACTGACACCCTTCTCCATGATCAGCGGGTAGAACTTGGTTTTGAACATCGCATTAACGATTGTCAGATCACATGATTAGAGTAATTGTTCTTTTCCGCAGGAGCCACGCTTGTAGCTTATAATCTGAGGACAACACAAAATGGCATCAAAACACTCATCAAAAGTGGCAGTGGTAAGCAATTATTTCACAATAAATAGTATTTACAGTCTGTCTTAGGAATACCTATTCGTCGTTCATGAAACAGTCGTATTGATGACAAGTATCTGACAATCCATTAAAACGCTTGTGGAATTAAATACACGTATTTCAATGGGTTGTTGGCGAATTTGTACTTATGACGGTTTCGTGGAACCATGAAGATTCTTACCTATAGACATTTTCTTGTTTCCGTTACAGTATAACCTACGTCGTCATATTCATTATCTCAATGTGTAGTGCTTTGTTGTTGTTGTTGTTGTTTTTTGTCAGCCTCTGTGTGATGTAGATTATGTGGAAGTTAATTGCGACACAATATAATGGTATCACAGATTTTCGAGGAGATGACCTTCAATGACCTCTTCTCGAATGTCCCACACCCTCTCGACTATTCTATCAATTGTCTGTGTATCCGGTGGTTTGAGCCTTTGCCATTAGTATATGTCCCCTCCCCAATCTGTAAAGATTTGTCATTGACACTGTCCATATGATTGTGTCTGGCACATTGTCTATAGCAAAACTGAAATGTGGCAGACACTAATTTCTGTTTTTCATGCTGTGTGTATATATAACCCTGTAATTTATTTTGTCTTTTGTTATTGTTTTTATTTATCTTATTTTTTTTTATTGATATGTACCTTTGTAAAGTACTCCATTGAAAACCTGTTTTTATTGAACGGGCCATTCTTTTTAAATATGTGAAATAAAGAAAAATAATAAATAAATCTAAAACATACATTAGAACTTGAAATGTACATAAAGTGTATTTTGACCATCGGTGCATAATATCTCGAAAAAGGTGAATGCAACAATTCATCGCTGTAATTTTTACTCTGTGGACAACAATATTCTTAAATGGTCACACGTCCATAGTACTTCGTGACAATAACAGCCCTTGTATCGAAATGGCAGACCATACATTTTGCTAATAATCTCGCGAATATACCCTCCGAGGGTTGTACACTTGACTGGGTCTGACAATATAACCAAGAAGTAAAAGAACAAGTGGAGATATACATATTACGACTTTAATATGTGCAATTATTCACATACAGTTCTTTGTTGATTAACCATTACGTTGAGTCTGGAAAAAAGACTCCACATGATTGCGCTATTACGCCTACTTTAAGCTAGGAAGACGATAGATGAAAGTGCCATTTGCAGGCCAAAAGAGTGAAAAGGTTAAATTCCAACGGCATTTGAAAGACTATACTAATTTAGAACTTCCCTAAACAAAAAAAAAAAAGGGGGGGGGGGGGTAAAATGTCTTCAAGCGGGAAAATAACGACTATAAGTTGCCAAGTCAGTTAGTAATAGTCTGATTTTTAGACCATTGTTTTGAATGGTCGTATGTTTTGTGCTGCACAAAGATTCAATCAGTTTAAAGTTGGCCATTACAAGAAGTGGGTTATTGATGTAGACAAATGCTCATTTTATGTATGTTATTACCAAAAAAAGCCAGGCAGTCACTCAATAGTGTCTGACAGTGAAGTCTAGCAAGTAAACGGGTTTCATTGCATAATTTGAATATTTTGGCTACACATGTATAACGCGTCTAATTAATACTTATGAGGAAAATTGGTAAAAAAAACAAGAGAAATCATTTGGGAATTTGTAAAAGCTTTGATGATAAATGATATCGAGATCGACCCTCCCAGTTTAACATGTATGTGTGTCATATCAGAAATCTGCAAAATACAGACATACGTATAATAAGTAAAAGTTCGACTTTCTTAATATCTGTGATAGAAATGACGTTGTTTTTAAAGGAGAACATGTAAAAATAAGTTGTCCACATCATGGAGAAAACTTCTTGTTTTATCAATTATCTATGTTATTCTTTACTTGCTTTGTAAACGCTGGTTAATAGTTTTTACTATAATTATGGAGAGCGTATACTAAATGCTACAGTGACAGTGATGATGGTGATGGTGATGATGATGACGACGACGAGGATGACGATAATGATGAGGATGGTGATGATGATGATGGCGATTATGAAAAATTACCGGCTCGATTAATAATGCTCATTAGGCTCGACCATAAACTATTTCATACTCCGATGATCATTACGAGCTGAACTTTGGAACAAACTGCCTTTAAATGTCAAAAACTGTCAGACTGTTAACCAATTCAAAACTTGTCTTAACACACTTTATTCAAAATTGCTTTTGATGATTAACTTACTCTGTTCGCATTTACGTATATTTCATATATATTGTAATTTGCAGGTTTGTTTGCATTTTGTTTTTGTTTTGCTTGATATGTAATTGTTTATCATTGTTATTTGTAGAGCCTTCGGTGGTAAGCGCTTTATAAGCACCGTTTGTATTATTAATTATTAAGTTTTGTGTACTGGTGTGTATACCATTCTTTAGGTTTACCGGTTCACCATGTACACGGGTAGTCCTGAGAAGGACTCTTTGGATTGAAAGGGGATTGAATAGAAAAGGGAGTGAGAGAGAAGTTTTCTTTTGGTTTCATCAAATATCGAAGACTACTTGATATTGCCGGGAGAGAAGTAGAGAAAATTCACGGAGAGAGAGAGAGAAAAAAAAGGAGAGAGAGAGAGAGACGGAGAGAGGGGGGGGGGGGGGGGAGAGAGAGGGGGGCGGTATTCTGTCGTGAGTGGAGTCTTGAAAAAAGCGGTCCATGGCGAACCAGGTTATGATTGAGAAGATAATTCAATTAAATTTATTTTGCCAAGCAATAAAAAACGTACAGGGTAAAACAAAATCAGTATACAAAGTTTCACACAATAACAATTACTAACATAGATAAACTCAGAAATACACATAATCAATTTGCAAACATGAATAATACAAGGGAAATTGCTAAGGCTGGTAGCCTCAGCCAGAAGGTCGCCCTTTCCCCCTATATGCGGCTGACCACATATTCATAATCAAATATAAAAAGTTTAATGATTTAATTTAAGCTCTAATAACAAGTTAAACAAAAAACAATTACATGTAAAGTAAAATGAATCAAACAACCGTTGAAATATGTAGCTAATATCAAAATAGGTCCATCAAATATTGTTTGTATTTACGTTTAAAAGTGTTAACTGATTTCAATTCACGTATTTCACGAGGTATAGTACTCCATAAGCAATGTACAAGTGGCAAGTGAAAATTATCAGCATTTCTAGTACTATAGAAAGAGAGAGGGAGAGAGAGAGAGGGGGAGGGAGGGAGAGAGAGAGAGAGAGAGAGAGAGACTCGACAATCCGAACACTGTTCGTCAGGACTCGACTACCCACATGGTGAAACCGCAAACTGAATGTATATAGGCCTAAGTTCTTAGCTCAAAATACAACATTTTAACTCCTAAAATACTGATGAACTATTGGAATTATAATTCATTATCTGTTTAATTCAGGTTACAGGAGCTAATAAGGGTATTGGTTTGGAGATCGTTCGAGCTCTATGCCGCCATTTTGGACAAGATGGCATTGTTTACTTGACTGCGCGCAATATTGGGCGTGGTCGAGCCGCTGTTGAGCTCCTCCAGAAAGAGGGACTCGATCCCAAGTTCCATCTTCTTGACGTCACTGATCAATCAAGCATTGATAAGTTTCGGGATCATCTGGAAAAGGAACATGGTGGAATTGATGTTCTAGTCAACAATGCCGGTATTGGTACACCTGTATGTAGAATCACGATTCTTGTACATGTTCTAATTAGAAATAAATGAGAAAGTTTTGCTTCTCTATCGCAAATGATTTAAAGTGGTACATAAATACCATCACATACGTGATTTTTGTTTTGATTGAGAGCACTTGTCAGAAATTTGAAATCAAAATACCCCCCTCTTTACAATCATGGATCCGAAAATGAAATACATAATAGAAAACCCTTAATGTTAAAGAATATAAATCAATCACTGCAATGTAGATGCATGTATCTTCTTAAAATGTTTGTGAAGTTCACAAAAAACTTTCATTACCACCAAAATGTGATTCCAGAGAACTTCATTTTATGACGAAATGGGAAGGTACGTCATTGTTGATCAAAACATAATGTGAAGTTTAATAGTATGCATGGATAGAAATATGAATTTCAACAAGAATAACGTTGGATTCGTGCTTTTCACGCAATTTTCGAGGTCCGCTGAAAATATTCGACTGACGAAATCAGATGTCCTCTCCCACTTCTGGCTGTAATGCCGGCGAACAGTACATGAAAGTACACCTAATCTTGAACTTTACGTAACATAATTTTCTTTTTCAGAATCACTTTCCCCTGTACGGAAAATCACTCTGGGTTATGAAGACAAATTTCTTCGGAGTTCTAGCCATCTCCCAAAGTCTCATCCCCCTGGTTCGGTCTGGTGGAAGGTAAGTTTTTCGCCGACAAAATAGGGGTTGGAAATCAAAGGGTTTCATAAATAAATAGAGTTTAATTCCGGGGGGGGGGGTATATACATATTAGGACATACGGGGGTGTGCCGCTCTAATGGATCATTTTTTTCACAAAAAATCCCTAAACATGGGTCCCATTTTTCAAAATGTCAAACATTTGCAAATTTTCCGCGTGTTTGCCATGCAAACATGCGAACACCCGAAAAACACCCGAAAAGGGGTTTTTCTTTCGAGAAAAATGCCCCTAAACGATCCTTAATAATTGGTAGGGGTTTTTCAAGGCTTGAGCGGCACACCCCCGTCCAAACCAAATCTGAGTATCCCCCCGGGATTTAATTAAGTCTTGATCAAGGGAGAGGGCAATTTTCTAAACGATTGAACCCTTCCACCCCCCCCCCCCCCCCACAATTATAAGGATCATTATGAGAGATTGGTTGAATATGAGTAGCGGTACAGCTAGGGTCGTAAATTCTTCGGGATTCTAGGGTTAATTCGAGCGAATTTATCTGGATGCATCAGCTTTTAAGTGCCTAAAGTGGTATGTAAAATTTGGTCAGTGAACCTTATCAATTCAATTCAATTCAAATCGATTCTACCCCCAGATATTTTTAATTCATTTTCTCAATGCAAAGGGACCACCAAAATACGAGGACATAATACTAACGCATCTGATGGGCCATTCAAATATCTGAAGTCGGAGGGGGGGGGGGAAGCTCATTTCCGTGCCAGAAAGAGGTTTCATGGAGGTTTTCTCACTCTAAGAAAAAAGGGTGCAAAAAAGGGTGCAAAATAAGAGTTTGCACCCTTTACATAAAAATGAACCCTATTGAAGGAAAAGGGGTTCAAAAAAGGGTGCAATATAAGATTTTGCACCCTTCCCACAAAAATGAACCCTAACGACTAAAAAAGGGTGCAAAATAAAAGTTTGCATATTGCATGCATATTCACGATTACTGTCCACGTGTTCACTTAAAAATACATTTATCATATGATTTGTTAAGCAAATTATGACAATGCACATCAATTTTGTGATTTGTATTTTCCTTCGGCAATCATTAACCAATAGATTATTTTGTCTGATCATGTTACAATTACATACACGTTTTAGCAATATATATATTGATTATATGATTACTAACCAAGAAACATCATGCATGTTTAATATGTATTTGTGTACGAGCACATTGTCTCGAGTATTCCTTAAAGGGTGCAGGGTTGAACCCCTTAAGGTGCTGCTATTGTATCGGGTTGCACCCCTAAAGGAGCAGGATTGAACCATTAAGGGTACCCATGTCCCCTGAAAGGTTCAATCTGGCACCCTTTTAAAGGGTGCAGGATTGCACCTTTAAAAAGGGTGCAGGGTTTAACCCCTAAAGGTGCTGCTATTGTTGCATCGGTTTGAACCCCTAAAGGTGCATAGTTGCACCATTTTTTCTTAGTGTGGAGCAGTAGGAAGTCCCCCTATATACAGACCCTTCTGAATCGACTTATTCAAGTTTCAAGTTTATTTGTTTTTACATTTCACAAAAAAGAATTCACATAATTGACAAGATTAGAACATATGAAATATACTAAAAGTGTCACATTATATAATTAATTCCTTGAAAAGACGTCGAAATTAATTTTATTGAATAGAGGGTTATACAGGGTGAAATGTGAGGAGCCTATTAAAAAGCTCAGCTTGTAGATTATAGGTTCCCGTAAATAAAACTAAATTTGATTGCAGTGGTTGTAATGGTGAAGGACGTAACAATAAATAGGTGGGCAAGAAGACCTTGACATAAGATGATGTACAACGTGACACAAGCAAAAGTAGCAAAAAATAGCAAATACAGCAAACAAATTAATTTGTTATCAAAGAGTGACACGATAATCACCATTTTCTCATTGTAGGATCGTTCATGTCGCAGGCACAACAGGATATATGGTGTTCAGGAACCAGTTCAATGATGACATCAGGAATCGATTTCGAAAAGCTAAAGACGAACAAGATGTTGTGGATCTGATCAATGAATTTCTAAAGTAAGTTCAGCGGTATATTTGGATGGAATGTAGTATGTTGGTGAAGGATCCTTATTCTCATTCGAGAGGGTCTAAATTCGATGCTTGCCCGGTGCCCACATCTGTCACTGGACAATGTATTTTATCCACATTTGTCCCTCTAGGACATTGTGAATTAAGTGTGTATTTAAATACCATGGTAATACTTGGTAATAGTAAATACGGGGCCCTCAGGAAAGCAGTATTTATATTAAGAAGGCTTCCCTGGGTAAAACATTATCATGATCATAATATCTTTTTTCATATTATTATCTTTTGTTAGACCCCATTTTTACTCCTCGATTCGGTCTAAACGTTGCTTCTTTGTCACAATCATTATCATCTTCAACAATCTTTTTTTTTCTCTTCATTATTATTAATATTATCGTTTTGATTATTATCATTCTATAATTATTATTATCATCATTATGTTTACTAGTAATATTATTGTTATTATTATAATTACCACTTTTAGCATTATTATTGATATTATTGTTATTATTAATAATAATAATAATAATAATAATAATATTCCACTTATATAGCGCTAAATACAAATGTCTCTAAGCGCTTTACAGATATATACTATTACCCCGGTCATTATTAATATTATTACTATTATTAATTTCGCTTCTAATTAAGATACAAATAGCATCCTAATAAAAGAATATTATGTTATTTGACATTAAAAAAATCAATGAAAAACTAATACCTTTGAAGAAGAAAAAGTAGATAAATTGCAAATGAAATTGATCTATGTTATGTAGAAATAGAGAGGCGGGTCCGCTGAAAAACAGGGCTTTTAAATTGTAGACCCCTCAGAAAAATGATAAGTGAGAAATGTTAAGTACTTATACAAACAAAAGGCCAACAAAGACAGCATTCATAGAAACTCCTTATGACTATAAACAACGTAAAGTTACAGATTATTATGACGAAGAAAAGACAAATTGAGTGAAGTGAAAACGAAAGAAATATGAGCCGCATATGTATTGGAGGGAGAGGAGAAAGAAATAGAGAGATAGAGAGAGAGAGAGAGATAGATAGATAGAGAAAAAGCATGACATAAAGAACGCACAAAATTCTTGTGGAATTTAAGAAAACAACAACAACAAAATTGAATAGCTTCAATAATAATAATAATAATAGTGAACATTTATAATGCGCCATGTCTGTCTGTCAATATGTATGAATACTTTAAAAAAAATTAATTATACTTCACTAATCGTACGGAATGTTGCAAATGTTACACAATTTCCGACTTGCACAATAATATTTACAGATTCTGCAAAGAAGGGACCATTGCAGAGAACGGATGGCCGGATGAGGCCGATGGGATCGCCAAAGTAGGCGTGATAGCATTGTCCAAGATACAAGCTGCGAAACTGTCACAAGATAAATCGAGGCGGGGTATACTTATCAATGCGGTATGTCTTCAGCAAGAATATTATGTTCATAACTCATAGCATGTGACGATATACATTAAGAGAGCATAGACATGGGTGCGGGGGGGGGGGGGGACCACGATCTTAACTAGATGGAGGAAATGCTAGCTATAGCCAATAGGAGGGAAAGTTGGAGCAGGCCCTAATTTCCATTTACCCGATTCCTTTGTTCCCGTTTCTTCTCCCTTCTTTCAGGTCACTTTGTCTGTCACTAATTTTTAACTCTTTATGATTTATGGGCCTACTTCTTCTTGGATCAAATTTCTAGAGTGATTACAATTTTACTCCTATTTTTCTAGCCCCCCTTCCTCCGCCCCAAGAAAATCTGCAACATACATGGCCACATATCGTTTTTTCAAGGGATTGTGAAAGAATCATAGCGTAAAGAATTCTCATTTTCATTCAAAAAAAATAATACATGTTGTTTTTGCAAGTCACTCCATTTAATATGGACTAAAGACAGGTTCATTGTCATTTAACGGTTAATTTGGTTAATTCTTTCTTTTTCTCATTCGCATTCGAAACATCAGTATCCTTGCAGATTTATGTTTCTGTCTCTGGGAGTTTTATTTCTAATTCAACAAAATATACTTCCTCTAATTTTTGCAGTGCTGTCCAGGCTTTGTATACACCGATATGACTGCTCACTTGCCTGAAGATCACTTTGGAGGTAACAGGGTTACTACCGCAGAGGGCGCGGATACACCTGTTTTTCTCGCTCTCCTCTGCTCTGGTACAAAGGGGCCAAAAGGAAAGTTCCTATTGCGAAGAAAAGTTTATGATTTTCTTCATACTGATGTAAGCATTAAGATGTAAAAATCTGTGAGATTATACAACGAGATGCTTTTAGTAAAAATGATCTGTAATTTTCTAAACAGGTGAAGTCATACTGTGTTAGAAAAACTATCGCACCATCGCAGATCAGCTGTGTACCGTAAATCGCCGCTTCCCTAGCTGCGCATATGGAAACGTTGTATCATCAGCTCAATCTCGTGACTTGCGTGCATAGAATAATTTAATAAGCATTTTTGCATGTTAAAGTGAATTTTTCTCAAACGTGCGTTTCTTTCCAACATTTGGGTGCCCGGGAATTACTGGGTAACATTTAAAAAAGTATTATATACAAAAATAGTATGCTCTTTCTAGTCTGTACTTTTGTCAGAATAGCATAGTCTTTCAGCTCGATGTCGTTTTTTTGTGTTGGAGAAGAGCAAAATAATGAGTTTCAATTGCACTTCGGCCGTTCTCCCAAGCCCTCACTCGTTCTGGTATTCAACTTGTTTTGATTGGTTGTTTTGATTTTGGGTTTAACCCCCCCCCCCTCAATTTTTTGTTATTAAAAAAAAGGGTTACCTTACCCCCCCCCCCCCCCCTTGCGAAATGTTTCCTCAAAAACTGGAACAAAAAGCTCTTAACCCCCCCCCCCCCCCTTGCTTATTCAGCGGCTGGCTGAGTCGTTCCGAAATTTTCGGCGCGATTTTCAAATTTTACCCCCCCCCCCCTTTAACATTGATGATCAATGTTAAGGATAGATGACCGCGCCTCTAGCTCAATATTGCTTAAAAATCCAATTTTTAGAAACGTTTGAATTCGGTCGAGATGTGGAAAAAATCTCTTTACACTGGGTGTTACAAAGTTTTACTTCGTGTTCTTCTAGAGTCGTGTAAAAGGGCAATACAAGTAGAAATTTGCCAAAAAAGAAAAATTGAGAATGTTGCTTTTCCATATTTTTCAATTTTTTTGAAAAAAAAGTACATCAAATTGAATGAAGAAAGCAGATTGGTGAAAGTTTCAATGAAATCGGAAAAATGTGAAAGTTATTTAAAAGTTGAAATCACTATCTGTAAGGGCACTTCAACTTGACCGAATCTATAATTTATTTTTTGATGGAGTACCAAACAACTTTCCAATTTAAATCAACACATAATTGTGTCAAAAAATTGTATGACTGAAGATGGCCTTTTAATTTCACAGGAACTATAACAATGTCATATTCGTGATATATTTTGAGTAGTATCTCAAGGGAGAAGGCACTGAGCATGAAGCCCCCCCCCCAAAAAAAAAAAAAAAAAAAATCCATCTGCTAATTAAAGGGGCCGTTTAAACAATGTTAAATCTGAGATACACGGCCCTCCGTGTTATCAGTGTCTGTGAAAAAAAAAGTGCCCGAAAAAAGTAAAAAATCTTTGAGTGACCGGTTTTACCATACTCATTTTCCCCAATAGACTGTAGTGTTATGAAAACCGTTTGGCAAACGGTTTTCAAAATTTGTAATTCCTATCATAAATATCTTGATAATCAGACAAGCGATCGGTTTGTAAAAGTCATGTGGTTCCTGACTGACCTAAAGGTTTATAATTATCATTGCAGCTTTTTTCTCAGAATCTGAGACAAAGTTACCGGATCCCTTTATATTGCGAATTTGGGGTCCGCATAGACTAAGTGATCTCCTCATTCAAAAAGTCATAACTTTCTAGTTATACGACCAATTAATTTCAAATTTCCGCCATTAAAATTTTATACTTTCATACAAATGAACTTATTAAAAAAGCTGGATTGCCCTTGAAACCTCTTTTAAACGCCTTTGTGCATGTATGTATTCAGAATGTGAAATGTAACATAATGCTGCCATGTTTGTTAGTTCTTGGAGTTCTGTTAACAAATATGTAGTTATGTAAGTCAATATATTTGGTTAACAAAACCTACAACGCAATTTTGTTATTTATCATTTTATAAATGTTATGTTTATTGTTTTAATGTAGCTATTTTGTTTACGTACGTTGTTTTTTGTTTCGTTTTCTTTTATATCATTATTTTTCAAATTTGTATTTAGAATGGAAATAAACATTAAATTCAATTATAATGAAATTTCTGAGTTATTATTGTATGGAGGTTGGTGCTTTGAACAGTTTCGATGCTTTTCTTTCAATTCTTCTCTCGAATATGGATACAAGTTCCATGAACAACATATGCCCAGGGGCGGCGATCCCGGGGGGGGGGCGGGCGGATACGTCCCCCCTCAATTTTTTTAGACGGGGAAATATAAAAAAGCGCAACAAAAATGTATAGCAAATACTGAATAATGACTGCAACAAATTCTTAGGCTCTGGAGGGCCCAAGAGTGCAGCGTTTAGACCAATACAATTGTAAAAAATTCTCGCTCGTTCACTACGCTCCCTCGCATAACATTCTTATAAAAACAAACTTTAAAAAACGGATTTCGTCCCCCCCCCTCCCCGGTCATGAAAAGAAATCGTCGCCCCTGCATATGCCCACCTACCAATTGAGTGGGGGAATGAAACGAAAGAGAACAAGCGTGAAAATGGAGAAAGGGAAGAGAGGAGGGTAAAAGACAGGACAAAAAAGATGATTGGAACACCTTCCGTACCGTGTTCCGATGGTCTGGGTGCGGGTTGTTGGCATTGATTGTTGCTTGGAAGGACAACAAAATGGCTTGCCCGGTCTAGCAACATGTAATGTTTGCGATATGTCTGCGGACTGTTGAGATTCAGCTGTTTATGACGGGTAAGGGGAGTAGATCGCATCAGGGGCCCATTTCCCGAAATCGTCCAACTTCTTGACTAAATCAGCGTAAGCTTCTCGTCCGCTACGTATTTCACGAAGCCCTCTTTGCCAAGATCAAGCACAACACCCTGGCTGAGTAGTTATGACGCCTCCGAACCTGTCATATCCCTTTGATAACTGTTTTAGTCGATGGGCAGCGCCATCAAATGTCATTTATTGGGTAAGGCGTGGATCCACGAACCCCCCCCCCCCCCCTGGCAAAAAAAAAAAAAAAAAAAAAAAAAAAAAAAGATTCGCTCGAAAAAAATGTGTTTCTTCTGCCCCCCCCCGCTTATTCACCGGCTGGATGATTTCTGCTAAATATTAACTCACGAATAGTGCACAAAAAAAAAAATAGTGCTCTTACCCCCCCCCCCTCCCCCCCCCCCCCCCCCCCCCCCCCCCCCCCCCCCCCCCCCCCCCCCCCCCACCCCCCCTTTTTACCTCTGGCATTTTAACTTCTGACATTTTAGCTCTGGTATTTAAGCTCTGACAAGGGGGGGGGGGGGACTGAATACAGACTAGGATTAAGAGTCGGTGCAACGAATCGTCTTCTTTCTCGGATAATTGAATGAAACGTCAAAGCTTCCGCTCTTCACGCGAGAGGGGGGGGGGGGTAATTCAGACAAGGATTTAGAGTCGAGAACGGTACAACGAATCGTCTTCTTTCTCTAATAATTTATTGAATCGTCGAAGCTTCGGCGCTTCGCGTGGGAGGGGGGAACTGACCCTAGACAAGGATTAAGAGTAACAATAGTACAACGAATCGTCTTCTTTCTGTAATGATTTAATGAAACGTTAAAGCTTCTGCGCTTTGCGCGGGAGGGGGGGGGGGAATAACTAAAAAAACAATTTAGCTCCTGGTTCCGGGTTGACCCTGCTGGAAAGAACACACTCATTCACAGTGTGAATCACAGTGTGAAATCACAGTTCACACTGTGAACACAGTGTGAAACACAGTGTGATTCACACTGTGAATGAGTGTGTTCTTTCTTTTTCCGGTTATCCACACTGTGAACGACAGTGTGAAACGAATCGACCACAATGTGAAAACGCCCCGATTTAAGATTGTGGAGCACACTGTGATTCACACTGTGAATGAGTGTGTTCTTTCCAGCAGGGGATAGGATTAAATTTGTAGACATTGGGACATTGGCATTAATATATTTGTCGGTAATTGGTGGCCTTTACAGTTTACACCCCCACTGAAAAAGGTCTAGTGACACCCCCCCCCCTCCCACTTTTCTCTTGACGTCAGGGTCTTGTTACGTCAGCATTCAGGACTAGAACCGTGCTAAAAACACTAAACACATCTTCCACCTGTTGCCGTGGTAGATTAACAATAACCCAATCATTTAAGTACTACACATCTGACGTCGAGTATACAAATAATCCAAAAATAATTATAATTTTGCGAGTGCATTTGTGAAAATGCACTGCACAGCATCGGATAATGAACGAAACTTGTCAAGTGACCAGTTTTTGTTTAATGATATATTTCTTATATTCTTTGATATCACGCGCTGTCGGTCTGCAATGATGACCCCACACGCTTTTACGTTGCAATAATACAGTATTTATGTACATCACCACCTGTTGCCGCCGTAAGTCAACAGTCAGTATTATTTCAGCTGTTAACGATTTCGACTGAGCTTCAGTTTAAACTAAATTTGTGAACATATTATTCTTGTTCACTCTACTAATAGTTGTTAACAATTCTTGTTTAGATATGGTGCTGTATTAAACGCCGCAAAGAAGATGCTTCAGTTTTTAACGTGTGGATGACATCAGCTGTGAGCAACAATGATCCTGAGCGTTTTCACGGGTCTCTGTTTTATAAGGTACGAAATGTGAAGCGCATCGCCCTAATTATGCCATCTTTTGACGTCGTATGTTTTCAGATGGGCTTCGGGAGCAAACTTTGCATCTGTACACAAACTCTTGCGAATCGTCATTGATACACAAGCGTTACTAAACGGTACGAGATATAAGATCGCATATATGTCTTTGGTGACGTGGAAGAGATGATTAATTTGAACATTATATTGGTATCGATCGTTGGGCAAGAGGCCTTCCTTGTTCGACGGTATACACGTACATCTATACGTAGAAGCTGTGATTCGTGATCTACAAGTGTTTGTCCTCTTCCGATTGATGATTTTAAATGCTTCATGCCGTGTCGGTACTTGAAAACGACTAAACAATTTGGCAGGGATTCAAATTTCTGTTTTGGGATCAGATCAGATCAGATAGCCGACCACCATTTCTTCTGGGTGTGATAAAATCACGTATTAGGCCGTTTTGATTTTCGTGTTTCTACATTAAATGTGATGTGACTATGTATTGGTCGTTTTCAAGCGCGTTTGAGCAAACGAAAAGGTGTTGATGAACATTATCATACGGATTCGCAAGTAGAAGATTAGTGACTCCTCAAAGTGGATCGGAGGGAATTACAAGAGACATGGGTTTTTCACAGCTCAGAGTCTTTCTGGCCTTCATATCCGGTGCTATATTCATGTTGTTCACCTTGACTATGATTAACCAACAAATGTTCGTCTTCCAGAGACATCCTCATTCAACTTTGACCGCCAGGAACCAAGCAGTAATTCAAAAAAATGCCGTCCCTTTATCTTTACACGCCTTAAAAGCAGCTCCGAGAACGACCGTGACGGATTCTGAGTCGAACGGTATTGCTGAAAAGAAGTTGTCAGGTAAGTTCATAGGTTCATCAAAAGTTTCAGTTCGCATCGTCGTCCTCTTAAAGGTAAAGACCAGTTATGGTCATGCGATTGCATTGTGAAAAAAAAGTGGAATCGATCAGAAAAGGTTGATCATCTAGCATCTAGCATCTGCAAGGTTCTGGAATCATCAAAATGATAAGAAATTTGGCCCTTTCTTTGTAAAGTTACAAGCACTATACACAGAAAGATGTATATGAGACTACCCTATATCTCTCTCAGACCATGAGAGAAACAAATTTACCAAATATATGAATTAGTAGGCGGTTTCCCGGCAAATTTTTTATCATCATGTATTAGTCAAAACATATTCTTTCACATGATTGGTAATAAGAGCTTCCATTTCATTTTTTGAAATTGGAGCGTTTCTAATACTGGTCTTTACCTTTAAACAACCTGTTCACTACTATTCAAATGTATGGATGTTTCTTTCCTGGGGACCTCGTGGTGACGAGGTATTCCATTAGACTGGCGAGGTATTCTGTTAGGCTGATATTAATGAATGATCTACAAAACGTGGAATCCAGTCTGTATGCATTACTTGTTGCTTTGTCAGGCAATCCTCGGAAAATCCTATACGTTGTCAAGAACAAAATTATTTATTTAAAAGGTATTCATACAATTTGCATATGTTAGTAAACCGTTCTATTGTACTTGTCTTTAAAATGACGCCGCGTATGGGGCATTCCCTCTCATAATTATATTCGCTCGAAATGTCGATAATCAGAATAATCAAATTAAAAAAAAACGAAACTCGCTCGGGATGCCTTGGGAAGGGCGGCGCTACGGATGGCTTGAACAACTACACGTACAAGACATGTACAGGTCCATGATGGTCATGATGGACATTAGCGTAGTTACAAGGGGACAAGGACTCATGAAACCCTCCCAGTCGCCTCCAATCGAATGGCGAAAGAGGAAGAAAAGGAAAAGAGAACGTGAAAATGAAAACAATTTACAAGGGAAGTAAAAAAGGAGATGGGGGTTCCCAAGTGAAATTTCCAATAATATTGCTTGAGACCATCAGTTGAGTTGTGATCGCAGGACCCGCTTATCAAGGTAGTGTTTCGACCTGACCGGTCATATTCCGGGCCAAATGTTCGTCTCAGTCCGCATTTAAATCCCATTAATGGATATTACATGGGGAAAATTTGATCAAATTCACATCACATTAAAAAACACAAACCAATATGAAACTCAATTAGAGAATAACTATTTTCGATGTATCCTACTTTAAAACACAGTCATGTGTCTGGTCACTTCATGGGTATCTATACATCATTGCGCAGGGGAAGAATGGCTTAATCCTCTATCAAATGTTGAGACAAGTTTATTTCAAATTCTTAAAGGTACTATGTCCCATTTGCAGGCCGAAAAAATGAAAAGTTTAAATTCCACGGCATTTGAAAGATAATACTAATTTAGAACTTCCCTATAAAATAGGGGGCTTGAAAATGTCTTTAAGTGGGAAAATAACGATTATTAGTTGTCGAATCGACTTAACAGCTATAGAGCCAGTGAGTAATAGTCTGGTTTTCAGAACATTGTACCGAATGGTCGTACGTTTTATGCTGCGCAAAGATTACAGATCATTTTATGTATGTTATTCCCAAAGAAGAAAAAGGCCAGTCTGTCACTCAAAAGTGTCTGACAGTGAAGTCTAGCAAGTAATCGGGTTTCCTTGCATATTAATTTGAATATTAGGACACTGCTAACGTTTAAATTTCACAGATAGGAATTAAATGACATATATATCATTCTTGCAAAATTCTACAAAAATTGATGTTGGCTGCAAAAGGGACAAAGTATCTTTAATGTGTTAACTTTAGTTAATTATCATCCTCCAGATGTTACACAACGGACACGCCTGCGTAAGGTCCGCCTGCTGTGCTGGGTCTTGACCTCCCCCAAAACATTGAAAACAAAAGCGACGATGGTTGCCAGAACTTGGGCAAAAAAGTGTTCTCAGACGCTTTTCATGAGCTCTCAAAAGAGTACCAGTTTTCCCGGCAACGTCATCGGGCTAGAAGTGGCCGAAGGTCGAAATGCCTTGTGGAACAAAACTAGGATGTCCTTAGAGTACATTTACACGCAACATTTCAACGATGCTGATTGGTTTTTCAAAGCCGATGATGACACGTACGTCGTCGTGGAGAATTTAATGGCGTTTTTATCACGGCAGGATCCCTCGGAACCGGTCTTTTTTGGATTCAGTTTTAATAAGACACTACCGTATTTTAAGGTTGAATCAAGGCAGATGGATTACATGAGCGGCGGAGCTGGGTATGCGATGAGCAGGGAAGCACTCAGAAGGTTTGTGGAAGTAGGACTCCAGGACCGGACCGGGCAATGTCCTGACAGCCACCTGGACTGGCCGGAGGATTTGTGTCTAGGAATGTGTATGGAAAGCCTCGGTGTTCGTTCGAAAGACCATCGCGATCGGTATGGACGATTTCGGTTTCTTCCAATATATCTGCATTATTTTTTGGATGACGGTATGAGTCCTCTCACATGGCTTCATGAATATTCCAAGTACAACATCACAAGGGTATGTATGTTACATGTACATGTTTTTTGCCATATTGTTACTACACGGACCAGGGCTACTATAACTGCTACTACTACTACTACTGCTACTACTACTACTACTACTACTACTTCTACTACTGTTTATGATATTACAATTATTACTAGACAATAATGATGATAATAATAATAATAATAATAACAACAATAGTGATAACCGTAAAAATAATGCTTATGAAAATGATAAATAATTATATTCTTAGTAACGTCGATATTAATGATGGTAATAATGATAACAATACAAATGATAATAATGATGATGATGATGATGATGATGATACTACTAATAAAATAATAGTAATGATAGTAAAAATAACGATTTGAATAATAATATAATAATGACAATAACAATGATGAAGATGATGATGATGATCAAGATGATGATAATCATCATAAAAATGAATTCTTTGTTATCTTTTAAAATTCCTCCAGGGGCAAGACTGTTGTTCAGAATCACTCATAAGCATCCATTATGTCAATCCGGGGGACATGCTCGTCTACGACTTCCTTATACACAATGTTAAAGTAGGCCTACTCGATGGATAAACAGGCCTCATACTTACATGAACCTCATTTTATATATCCTAATAACTGGATCTATACAACTGATGTATTGTAATCCAGAGGTGTCGTGGTTTAGCGGATACATCACCTGATCTTAAATAGAGTCACTCGTCAGTTTCCAGGTGCAGAAGGTCATAATTCCCTGGCACCAGACTTGGTAGAAATACCATTAATGGGTGAACATGTCTGCGCACAGCAAACCCGTAGGCCAATCAAGAAATACCCCAAGTCTCTTGGAGAGTCTTCGGATGATGCAAATGTCACATAATTACTTTCCCATATGGGGAAAAGCAGAGCATTACATTAAGCCTGTTGGTCATAAAACTAAATGCTAATCCTGGTGATTGACAACTCCTGTTATTTGGTAAACCCCGAAAGGTGTCGAATTCCCCATGAGAGCTGACTTCTACATTGTGTCTTTAAATCACATGATTCGCGGTTTTGAGTTCCTCTGCGCCACCCTTTGGCAAGACAGGAAATCTAAATTTGCCACTCTCCACCCAGGTGGTGTAAATGGCCATTCCTGGTAGAAGGACGTTCTTAGAATACCAGAGCGCCTTGTCAAAGTAGCTCGGCTAACGCTGGGGTAATAATTTAGTAGTAGCAGTCATTTTCGAGATTTATTGACGGCTGTATGATAGTCTCCCTTTATAAAGGGACACTTAGCAATGACAGAGCCATACATACAGAATTTGGCCAACTTGGTTTCACTGGGTCACAACATGGCGTATATTCTTTTGTTGTGTGCTTGCCCAACAAAGCAGTAGTCGCCATATTATGGGTAATTTTACTAATGCCCGAACAAAATGATGTGTATCATTTGTTTTATAAGTTGATGTACCAATGACTGGTCACGTGTTAGGCTAAATAAATGCCTAGCCACGTGTACGCTCTCAACCAATAATTTGATTAGGATCCGCGTTATCATCCTATAATACGATAAAACGCTCGGTGAAAAAAAAAGATAATTAGCATAGACAAATTAGGGAAATAGGTTTGAGTAAAAGTGGGAGATAAAAAAAATGAACATACATAACTTCATATATATCCCGGTGCTCCTTGTTAAAACATATATATTATTTCAATGTAATTTTTATTGTTATTGTTGTTGTACTGTACTATTGTATATATTATTGATTATAACCTGCCGCCTAACCCACTGTGTTGACGGGCCTGGTTTTTTTGTGCATGAGCTATAAAGAAGTGATTTATCATCAGGATTATCATCTTGTTTTATAACCAAAGAGGAATTTCCTAAAAAAAAGCTAGGAGTGTTATCCACTTGCAAATTGTCATGATACAACGTTATCACTATTATTTTTAATTAATGCAATTCTTGATCAGTCTGTTGTCGGTGTGAATCGTTGTGTCTATCGTTTGTGTGACTGATGCATATAATAGGGTCCAACTGTCACGAAAGATAAGATAAGATGGATTCAACTCAAACAAGGCAATCATCAGAGACTAATTATTTTAATGACTACAATGTTACACACAGCAGGGGCAGAAGCGTGGGAGACAGAGGGCCATGACCGCTAACCCCCCCCCCCCCTGGGATCACACCAAACTCTGGACTATTCTTATAATGTTGTGCATGAACATACTTTATGATGTAGGTCTTTTGCCTTCAAATTGAACGAACAAATATTCATCAATTAGCACTTATATTACTACTGTAATTTGAAGAGTAGTCCTTTATAATAATTACCCTACATAAATCTCATAAGATTTATGAGGTATTACTCGTAAACTTTGTTCCCTGTCAGGGCACACAGCGTCTGGATATACAGTTAGCAACTTAATTATTCGTACCCTTACCAAGTTTTGTAATTTTTGTTTAAAGGCCCACTGCACTACTTGTAGCTACTTGCGCCCTCTTACAACAAACAATGCCTAATTGGTGACCATTGGTCCCCCATGATCCTCTTTTTCTTATGTTAACTGAGAGGTGAGTTGATGAGATAACCACCTGTCCAGTGACCTTGCAGGGCGCTCTAATCCCTCCTGTAAACTATGGCAGATAAGCTTTAAGTATGAGGAAAATGTTATTTGTCTCATTCATGAGAATGTGACATATTACAGCTCATATATCTAAAGGTATTCAACAAAGGCTCCAAGTCAACTAGTCCACCTTTCATTCTTAAGTTACGAAAAACACACAAAACATCCAATTCACAAGGGGTATGAATAATTGAGTTGTTAACTGTACATGAAGTGTAGTGTATTCACGATAGTTGCACAATGCAAAAGAAATTGTCATAACTGTTGCACTAGATGGCGCATTAAGTACAATCAAATAAATGATAGCTGATGCCAACAGTATTTTTACTTTTTTTCACGGCAGATTGTCTTTTTATTTGTTCTAAAAAAACCACGAGTGCATTACAAATTTAATACCTTGTACATGTACATTTAACTTGTGTAAATTGTCTATAAAATAAGTACTGCAATCAACTAGTACACAATTTCAAATTGGTACACAAACAACTGTAAATATTCATTTACATAAATCATTTTTCTTATATATGTCTGATAAATGTACACGATAGATTGTCCTTTTTCCTACAATAAGTTTACCTTATAAAGTTATTAGGATAGTATTTTGCACAACACGAGCAACAAATTGAATACTATAAACTGAGGCTAGCCTTTTGAACACAATTCAGCAAAATATAATACTGATAGAAATTAAATATTACACATGTTTATACAGATATTAATGTAGTACTATATGATCAAGCAAATAATGATGTTTGAAATTTGTTTTCAATATCCTAATTCCTAAACATAATATACAGTAACCATTCAATTTTGTACAAAACAATGTTTCACCTAGCAAGACATTAGTCAAATTCACTAGTTTCTGGAACACAGAAATGAATAACACCAATAACTGAAAACTGTAGACTACCTGACTGCCTGGCAGTATCCTGTTTTTTTTTTCTGTGATTTTGTTGTTCTTGGGTATTTTTTGTTCTTTGTTTGTCTTCTCCTTTTCTTTCTTTTTTTTTTTTTGGGGGGGGGGGGGGTGCGGGGAGGGGTCGTTTTATGTGGGGGATGTACATGGTATCACCATCACTTTTTTTTTCATTTGAAGTTTTACCTTAAGATTTTTTGTTTTTTTGTTTTTTTGAGGCTGCCATCCTTGTCAAGCTTTGCTTATGATTACGGTATCCTGCACTTTTCCAACAGAATAGTTCAGATAATACTTTAAATTTATGATGATATGTTATGGAAATAATAAGTTTCGTTATTATATGTACATATATTATGTAAAAAAAACATTTTGACATGAAGAAATTATTGTTTGTTTATGTTGTATTATACCTAACATTCATATGTTCTTTGTTATTCACTTATATTTTATTTGGAAAAAATGCAGAAATAAATCAAATCAAATCAAAAAAATCAAACCATGTTGATATTAAGTCATGTGTATGTTTTGGCCTTATCAAAAAATGTTTTCAATGGCTTGGTAAGTCTTCAAACCTGCACCGCCCCCCCCCCCCAAAAAAAAGGGGACCCTTGTGCTGTAACTTTCATTACACCAATGGATGTAATAGATGTTTATAAAAAATACAAATTTAGTAAACAAATATGCAGCAACATTTCATGGAATACTCTCTGCTTTTGAGCTATCTGAATGAATCTCGGTTCGCATAATCATTATTTTACACAACAAATCATGTCCAAGTTTAAGCAAGAATTGTTATAACAAATTTAAGTAACATGAATCTTTTCTAGGGTGAACAATAGTCATAATGACAAAATTTTTCTTAGTGTCAATATGTTTCATATACAAACTTTGTTCAAACAAAACTGTGATTTTGGAATTTACCTAATTTACCTATGGAACTTGCTAAATCATATCAGTAAATGGATAATTGAATTATATTTTTCCATAATTCATTGTGATCTTGATAAACTAATTAACTTATAACTTGTAGAGGTCTTGCCTACAAAAAATATTCAAAACATGTTCTCACAAGACATGATAATATTGCACTTTTATCTTTTTCTACATAGGCCTATATACGATGTATATATAAATATAAGTGTAATATATACTTAAACAATATATACATGAATAATATATAAATAAACAATTTAATACAATCGTTTTTAGATATCCTTTAAATTACTTCATTGCTTTTGGTTGATGGGATATCATCCGAATCAATAGATAATGAAGATGGAATGCATAGCTTAATAACCTTAAGTACTTCAGCCTAATTGACTTTAACCCGTTGAATTCAAAGCCTCTGAGATAACTCATGATATAATACCCTTTGGGAATGCACATTGAATGAAAACAAAAATCGCCTTCAAAAGATTTTTCTGTTTTGAATATTCATAAATATACTTACTCAAAATCCACAGAACCTCATTGAAATATTGAATTTTTATATGACCTGAGAAAGGATACAGCTTAGTGATTCCACATTCAAATGTGATAAAAAAATCAGAGTAATACAAACTATTATTACCTATACAAGGCATTTCAGCTCCTAAATAAAAAGTCGTATTTTGCATGCTGCTCCGAATATCAAACCGGAGCGGTGAATATTTGCCATATCGCCCTCTTCAAAGTTCCCCTTGTAGACCACTGTACTAAATCAGAGGGCAATATTGAGCCATATTTCATTCTTTCTTGTCAGTGCGCTTGTATTGTGTAGGCGTTAAAGTGTACGCGCGGTAACAATCATTGTTACGTCACAATTACATACCTGCCTGAATAACCTGAAATCAGATGGACCGGCATGCAGACGGGAGTAAAAATCATGCTTGATACCAAAGTTGTATATCAATAATTTGTAAAAATATGCAGGCTTGTTTAGGTAATAATAATCATATTGACAGGGCTTCTTTTGGGGTACATCAGGAATATTGACCGCGCTCAGACCATATGACCATATTGCCCTCGTCTTCGACTCGGGGCAATATGATTTTAGCTTGGTCAATATTACTGATATACCCCTCAAGCCCGGTCAATATAATATAAATATTCGTAAAAATACTCCAGCAGGATTTCACACCATACTGTCAAGTCATACCAGACATTTTGAACGCATCAAAACTTTCGCAAACTTGCAAGTGCTCCAGGTTTGCCAAAATGTTATGCTGGATAATTATCAAATTGCAACACTGTACAGTTAACTCTGCATAAATCAAAGTCACACAAGTTAATTTTCCCTAAAGCCAAATTTTTTTTAATTTTTTTTTTTTTTGGGGGGGGGGGCTATGGAAAACATGTGTCATTTACACTTCCTCAGTCAAATCTTTAGAATTATTTTTGTTCAGTCCAGCACATTTGACTGATGCAGAGTTATTAACTGTATTACTTCATTTATGAATTTTCTTTCATAAAAATGTTGCTGATAATTTTGTAATAATAAGGGTTAACATTAACAGAAGTGTGAAACATTCTTTAAAAAATGTACAAACGTGCATTCATCACGATATAATGTTGTATATTTACAGGATGCCTCTTGCATGAAAAGTTGCAATTAAACAAAATTATAAAAACATAAAAAGTTACAGTGAGCCATACTTTTTGCATGGTATAGTGGTTCATTCTCTTAAAATTCAGTCAAGAGATCAATGGTTCAAATTTAGTCAATAACTAACAACCTTCGCCAAAACATCTGCATCTGCCACTCTCTACCCAGAAGAACATGTACAACGTTAGCTGATATGTCAGCATCACTGTATGACAGGCATGAGAGACTATGTAGAGGTGTCATGTTCAAGTGGATATGTCACCGGACTCGCGATCACAAGGTCTGCGGTTTGAGTCCCGCCGCGGCACTAATGTCCTTTGGCAAGACATTGATCTACATTTGCCACGCTCAACCCAGGTGATGTAAATGGGTACCTGGCAGGAATTAATTCCTTGAAATGCTAGAGCGCCGTAATGGCAGCCGTGCTAAAGCCAGGGTTATAATCGGGAGCGCCAGGAGTGTCAAGTCTGACAGACATGCCATACAAGAACCCACTATCATAAAAAAGTCACTATTATATTATCTCCATCAAAAACATATATTCAACTGTTTCATTTGAGTTCTGGTATTTGCCTTAGAAAAAAACATTTGATCCAGATTGATCACTAATTCACTACATGTAAATTGTTCACAAATGAATTGCAAATCTGGAACCCCATTTCTGTTAAGAAGAGCACTGAGATCGATGTCAAAATGTGACCAATTTGAATTGATCGCAAGTAAATATAGAGCAGGGCCCTAATAGGTGGGCATTGTTTCAAAATTGTTGTAAGTACATGTACATGTATACATAACACACATCCCATTTATTGCATGCTTCCTAATTCTCTCTATTACACACATTTCAGTAAGATGCCGGTAAACTTATAATTACAAATGGTTTCGAGAAATGGTGCTGTGATTAATTGCAACTTTTCATGCATTTAAAGTGACTCGGTAACATTGTTGAAGGTTGATGAAAAAACTGCGCAATTTTTGTATGAAATGTTACTTATTATATTCCTCCTACTGTTCTAATTTTCTAACTTGCAAGGAAAACTGAAATAATTCTCAAACCACAGAGATGTTTATGGTTTTCTTTGAAGGCGTCACTGTGCGACACCCTCTGACACTAAATTCTCCCAACCATTTTTGGATTTTCCCAACCGTTTTTCCATGAAAATAAGACATACATGTAAGACAGGCTTTTAAAAATCTGTCAACACTTAACCCTAATAAGGCCGGGCTATTTGAAGTCTTAGTAGGGCCGGGGGGGGGGCCATTATGGCCCCCCCTCAAGATCTCGGCCGCGAAGCGGCCGATCGCCGCAAAAATTTGCACGCATGTCAAGTGAAGTGTAAAGAATAATATGATCATTTCAATTTTTTGAAAAATTCACTCATTTGCATATTTATGGTAATTTATGCAAATAAAGTCATAAAAATCACATTTTTACCAATAAATCATATATTATTCATATTTAAGCATTCTTTTTCACTAGATATATTCATTAGACCATTCTGAATAATAATAAGACAAAAAAAAAAAAGAGCCAGCTTATTTCTTATGTTATCCCTTGTTTTGATAATTTCTTATGTATTTCATTGTTTTTTTAACTTATGTATTTCATTGTTTTTGTTGTTTTATTTTATCTTTTACTACAATTCAACTATTTTGACTCCCAAAACAACCACCTAAGCTTTAAACAAGACCCAATAACCCATGTTTGATCTGCTTTTAGGAAAAATGACTTTGCCATACGTTTTGTACACAAATCACGAAAATGAGCGATTTTCAGGCTGACATGCGAAGACAAAAGGTCACGTGACCTTGTAACCGTAGGTCCGATTTTCAAAAAAATTATTTTAAAAGTTGCGCAAGACTCGAAAGAAAAAAGTCAGCGAGCGGCGGGGCGCCATCCATATGCGTTCCCGAGCAATCGAAAAAATTGTGGAGGGGGGGGCCATAATGGCCCCCCCCCCCGGCCTTATTAGGGTTAAATGTCTGGAATGGTATATAGAACCAATTCATTGCTTTGTGACGATTTACATTCACCTAAAATGCAATTAAAGAGTAATATTATACATGTAGTTGGGAGAATTAAGGAATCCATCAAATCAGTTTTTCCCAATTTCTATCATTAGTAATGGTCTGCCGTTTTTACTCAAACTTTCAGATTATCTTTAAATGTACATCCAACATTGAAGTCACTACCTCAGCACCATTTTCTCTCATCTGAACAATGTTACCAAGTCCCTTCAAGCCCAGATTACACTCCAGGGGGGGGGGGGGGTGTTTCACAAAGATCCTAAGTTGGACTCAACAATTATGGAAAGCTGTTAGCATATTTGACAATATTTTGTTCAAGTTATTTTAAACGGCATAAAATATTGATTCAAATCATACATATTTTTTATTATCAAGGAGATTTCATGTTCTTGAAGTGGAATTTATAAAAAGTCTAAAATACTTCAATTTTTTCGCTTTTGAATATATTATATTTTAAGGCTACAAATGGCTCTCCATAACTTTTAAGTCCAACTTAGAGTTAAGTTTGACTTAGGATCTTTGTGAAACACCCCCCAGGATTCATCCTTACCCCGCCCCACCCCCTTCACGACCCCAACGGCCTGCCTCTGTATCAGAGTCTGGTCCTAGGTCCTCCACCCTACTCCAGGAATGAATGGTCTCCATCTCCTCCTGGCTCCCAACACCATCAGGGAAATCATCCTGCATGACGATGGGGGCGTACTGGATGTGGTTCCTGGGGTGTCGCCAGGACTGGACCTTCTGGTACACCGCCCACGCCCCGACCAGGATGCTTAGGAAGATGAGGATGATCACTACAACGATGCCAGACACCGCCCTGGGGGTCATCTCAAACTCATGCCGCTTCTGTAGTGACATGATCAAAAGATGAGGTTTAGATTTATGGTAGTGATAAAAGTTGACCAGATACGCCTTAAGTTGTATGACACTTGCTACTGCAACAACTGCAACAATATATACTTGCTTATTTATGATTCATTGTCAGAAAAATACTTATTGTACTTTATATTATTATTGTTATCGAAAAACTGTATGCTTACATGAATGCAGAAGAAAATCAAATCAAATCAAATAAAAACTGCTCTGCTTCTATTTCCTACACTAATATAACTCTTAACTCTTTCCCTGGACCCAACTCTATACTTAACCCTAAGGCTTAACAAAAAAAGATGTTGTATTGCCCTTTGCGACCGACCCACAATTTTTGGAATCTATGGTCGGCTTTAAAAACAAAACAAATGTTTAATGAATAAAATAAAAAAGTATTCAAGTAAAAAAAAAAAATGAATATATCAGCCTAAAGAGGGGAAAAAAAAGAAGAAGATTTCGGACCTAAACCTTACATAAAGGGCAATACAACATCTTTTTTTGTAGGCCTAAGTCTTACAACCAACAGCTTAACCCTAAACCTATTCTAAAACACAATTGCAATCATTACCCCCAACCCTATGCCTTTGACAAAAAAAAGTCCAGAGCAATTGTTGCAGGAGCAAATGTAGTGGCACGAAAATACATGTCTAGAATGCAAAGTGCATAATTTGATATAATCATATATTTATTGAATAGAGGTACATGTGTACATGAACAACCACATCACTTAAATATAGAGCATACATGTACATGCATGTACTACATTGATGAGGCTTAATATTACTTTTAATTTACAAACACTACTATTACGTACATTATTTGCATTCCGGACACGTCTTTTCAAGCTTCTAACATTTTTGCTGTTAGTGTTAAAGGTCATGTGTCCCTTTTGCAGGCCCCCCCCCCCCCAAAAAAAAGGTTAAATTCCAACAGCATTTGAAATACAGTACCTGTACTAATTTAGTACTTCCCTCAAAATGAAAGGGCTTGAAATTGGCTTGAAAATGGCTTTTAGTGGGGGGGGGGGGGGGGGGGGAATAGACCATTAGTTCTCGAATCGACTTAAGTTATTGCAATCACCTAAAAGTAATAGTCTGATTTTCAGACCCTTTTACAGAATGGTCATTCGTTTTGTGCTGCACAAAGATTCAATGATTTTCAATCAGTTTAATTTTGGCCTTTACAAGTAGCGGGTTATTGATGTAGACAAATGCTCATGTACCTGTTTCAGCTCACTATATGTTATTACCAAAGAAAAAAGATGTCAGGCAGTCACTCAACAGTGTCTGACAGTGAAGTCTACAAGGTTAGCTGGTTTCCTTGCATAATTTGAATACTGAACACTGCAAATGTTTAAGTTTCTCAGATTGGACATACTGTACATGACATATTCATATTTCCTGCAAAGTTCTACAGAATTTGATGTTGGCTGCAAAAGGGACATACATGTAGTATCTTTAAAAGGTGCTTTCGGTTTACAAAATACATACCATGGTAGGAGAACTACCACTGGAATGGGAGTTCATTATCTGCTGTGAAGTTGAGCCCTTCTGTGCCGTGATATGGGCATCAAACATGACATGGAGGGTCTGGATCTCTGATGCCGTCAGCTTGTTCAGTATCGCTTCAAAGGTACTGGAAAATCAAGGACAGTAGAAATTCTCTATCAATATTCCAAACCCATGCCTATTTACAAAATAAAAACCCATTTATAGGTTATATATAACTAGAACAGTATCCGGTACTTTGCAATCAAAGACTTTCTGATCTTGCATAATACAGTGATTTTCACAGCAAGCAAGCATTCAGAAAGTCCATGAAAACTTGTCATGAGAGCCTCAGTAATTTTATAAAATTGTTTATAGATATAAGATAAAAAAGACTATATCAAATGTGAGCTGTTATTCAGAAATGATTAGTAATCCCCATGGGGATAGGAATACAAAACTGGAAGACTGATAATTTTGCAGATCCGTTCTGTTGCACAAAGCAATCCTTCCCTCAATCGGTGTCTATAAAAAACACATGTATCGCAAGCAAAAAACCGTGCAGTGGGGCAAAGAAAGCAGCAGTGGTGTAACGGGCACAGCATAATAATCTACACTATGATGTATTGATCCAATAGTCCTTTACACAGAAGTGCTTGCTTTAAGTAAATATTTCCCTACCCCATGTATATTTTGAGAAAATCGAGTTGATGGAGTTAGGGAATATAGGGCATACATACATGTACACATGTACTGTACATGTATATGTTTGTTTACAAACAAAACATGAATCATTGGCTGCCCACAAGTAGTCCAGAATCTGGCCGGTTCTGTATTCATTACACATTGATTCAAGCCGTGGAAGATGGCATTATCAAGTATCAACAAACTCATAATTATGCTCCCCAGTTTCACCGGGCGTCCTAATTTAAAGATCACGCCGTCTTCAGCTGGCAGCAAGTAAATAGTGGGAGGTCGCATTGCATTGGTGTGGTGGAGATCAAAATTTAATAGGCCAGATTCTGAACTAACTAGGAAGGCGGTAACAGCTATGTATTTTCAATTGCATGGTGTTCTTGCAGGCACGGGTAGGGCAGAGCTCGAATACAATGATTGGTGTACTAGAAGAGCAAACATAAAAAGGAGAAACAAGCAAACAAGCTGACACCCTTGAAATTGACAGCTGTTACTTCTATTTTGCCATGCACTTTATAGATCTGGAGGGTTATGGAATGGTTTACACAATATTTGTACAGGTGTACATGTAGCCCCCTGGGGCCATATGTATGAAACCTATTACTTAGCCAATGTAATTACTTGACAACTAGTAATTTTTTAAAAATATAGGCCCTAGTTAAGAACAGTGGCTCATGTGCCACAAATGTTATTTCAAAATGTCATGTAAAATCAACACATACATGTACAACTACAAAGCTCTATGATCTTCAACTTATTCAACCGAATAACTGCTGTACACTTACATGTACATGTATCTAAATATTAAAGGTTACAAACACAACCCTCTTCACACCAAACTAAGATATTGAACAGAGGACATATTATACACTCAATGACATAAAGCGACAAAGCAACACTAAACTAAGATTTTGAACAAAAGAATCTTCTAAGATTCTTACCTCACAGGACTCATCCACATGTCTGGGCTACATCGGACTAGTGATGCCACGGCGTCGGACTGCATCTGCAAGGTCAGACAGAAAATAAAATAAAATTTAGGAGGGCTACTTTAGTTCATTTAGTTCATTTAGTTCATTTATTTTCCACAATAATAAAAGTACAAAGATGTACATTACATATAACAGATATATACATGTATATACAATAACAACAACAAATACCAAAACAAAATGTGAACATTTACAGTAACATTGATAAAGAGCATAAGTGATTGATTAAAGTGTAATGATATAGAACATGTTATTATTGCGGAGGGAGCCAACTGGAAGACAGGAAAATAGTCTTAAGTGCGTTGGCACCCATCATGATCAATTAAATATAATCTTAATACATTAAATAACAATTGAATAATTGCGTTAAACAAAAAAAAAAGCAAAGTAAATTTGAATATAAAGAAAGAAAGGACGGGTTAAGAAGCTCTACTAACGTTGTAGTTGATTACGGTATGAATTTATCAAGTGTTTTTTTAGTTTGCGTTTGAAAGATTGGAGTGACACTGAGTTTTTTATTTCATTTGGTAAAGAACTCCACAGTTTTGGGCCGGTAAAAAATAAAGTAGATTTTGCATAGGATGTACGTATTTTGGGGAAATGAAAATCATTAGAAGACCGAGTTTGATAAGAGTGAATACTTGCATTTATAGGAAATAGATCAGTAATATAACGAGGGAATAAGCGATTTTTACATTTATACATGAACATACCAGTTTGTAGCTTACAAATATCGGATAGGCTTAATACATTGAGCTTATGAAATAGCGGAGCAGAATGAGAGTTATACGAGGATTTTGATATCAGGCGAATGGCTTTTTTTTGTAGTTTAAAGACTCTATCAGAATATGACTTAGGACAGCCACCCCAATTTATATTACAGTATGATATGTGGGGTAGGAAAAGGGTATTGTAAATAGTAAGAAGAATTTTTTCGGGTAATAAATTGCGCAGGCGATATAGGATACCAACAACTTGAGAAATTTTAGAACAAACATCTCCTAAATGATATTTCCAAGACATGGATTCATCTATATGAACACCTAAAAATTTGGTATGATTTGTATGTAATAGTTGGGATTTGTCCATATGGATTCTTATATCATCAATATTATAATTCATATTGCTAAAAACCATATAGTTAGTTTTAGACATATTTATAACTAACTTATTACATTTTAACCACTGATATACATTTTGTAATTCTTTATTAAACGTGGTATTAATAAGGGGAATATCTTTATGGGTAAAAAAAATACTTGTATCGTCGGCAAACTGTATAAAACTTAGGACATTTGATGAACACTGAATATCATTTATGTAAATTAGAAATAATAATGGGCCGAGGATAGAACCCTGTGGAACCCCGCAAACAACATTGAGCATATTTGAGTCTGTAGAATTAATTGTAACATATTGTTTTCTATTGCTAAGATAATTTTCAATCCATTTGTGGGGAACACCTCGTATGCCAATATGATATAATTTGTGCATTAAAATATTATGGTCTATTGTATCAAATGCTTTTGACATATCTAAAAATACACCGACTGTTGTTTTTTTAATTTCAATGGAATTTGTAATATCTTGAGTGAATTTTGTAATTGCTAATGATGTTGACAGACCCTCTCTAAATCCATATTGAGTGCTATTTAATAAGTTGTTGGAAGATAAAAAATTGGAAATTCTACTGAAAACACATTTTTCGATTATTTTTGAGAAAACAGTAAGTACAGAAATTGGTCTATAATTCGACATACATTCTTTTGACCCCGATTTAAAAACTGGTATAACTTTAGCTACTTTGAGATTATCTGGAACAAGACCTGTCGACATTGACATGTTAAAAATTTGACTCAATGGTTTACAAATAAACGGTATTACTTTCTTAACTACTTTTACATCTATGTGGTCGAAACCAGAAGAAGTATCATTTTTAAATTTGTCAACAATGGATATAATTTCACTTTCAACAATCGGTTGAAAAAATATTGAAGAAGAACAAGGATTTGAAAGATATTTGGAGAAATGTTTATTACATGTATCATGGGGATCATCCAGTTTCTTTTGTAAATTGGGGCCTATTGAAATGAAATATTTATTAAATTCGTTAGCCATTTCCCTTGGGTGAGATATGTCATTATTGTCATTTACAATTTTGGAAGGGATATTTTTTTTAATTTTAGTTCTATTTAAAACCGCATTAATTTCTTTCCAAGTAGCCTTGGAATTCCCTGTAACGGCACAAAATTTGGATTGAAAATATCGTTGTTTTGTTTTTTGTATTGCCTTTGTGCATTTGTTACGGAATGACTTGTAAATTCTTTCATCAATTACTGTTCGGCGTGATATAAATTTTTTGTATAAAGTTTGTCTTTTTTTACACATTTTTTTTAGTTCTTTTGTGAACCAAGCCTTGTTCTTCCGATTGTTCATATTTTTTGATTTTTTGAGAGGGAAACACTTGTCGTATATATCTAGAAAAATATCCACAAAGTCTTTAAACATGTCATTTACATTTGTCACACGAAGATTCCAGTCAAAATCCCTTAAATGTCTACAAAATATTGCAATATTATAATCATTGACTACACGTTTAAAACTGTTTACATTGTCAGAGTTGGAAAATATACAACTTGGTGAAATAACGCTAAATATGGGCAAATGATCACTAATGTCTCCAAAGAGAATACCACTTTCCCTGACCGTATCAGGCTTATTTGTAAACATGTTGTCAATTAATACTTTAAAAGCACGGGTGGTATTCTGGAAAGCAGACTAACTTTAGTCCATGGTTTAATCCACCGACTAAGTATGGAATGCCAAGTGTCCATATGAATATATTTTTGAATAATTTAATATGTCCCTAAATTACCATGATAACATAATTATATCATAGTAATATTGTTGTTTATTAATTATGTTATTACATTTTATTTTAATTTAGAAACAGATAAAATTATTTTAAAACATATTCATATGGACACTTGGCATTTCATACTTAGTCGGTGGATTAAACCATGGACTAAAGTTAGTCTGCTTTCGAGAATACCACTCATGCTTTTTACTTTAGAGGGCTACTCCTGAAGCATCGATCTAATGCCCTTGTCTCATTAAACCTTATTTATCTTCCTCACACCACTTGCAATCTTTCGTCCATCTTCATGACAGGTTGTAATGCCCTATGAAAATTACTAGGTTAAGAATACTAGACTAGATATCCGTTAAAAAATCTAGCCCTCTCTGAGAGAGTAAATTTTTTTTCTCCTGACATGGGTGACAGTGATGGAGATTAACCATGTGTTTCAACAACAGCAAAAATCATTTTGCAATCATATCCAAAATATAAGAAAGGAAGAAAAAATCATTCACTGCCTCTATACAGGGAGGTGAAACAAAGGAGGCGAAACTGTTGCAATATATTCAAAAGCATTCGTGAGTTCTAAAGCGTAGCAATGGGATGTGTAACATTCCACTTGGCTTTGCGGTTCCATACTCCGAACTGCGCTTCCACTGTTCCACTGGATCCGCCACTGTACCGTTCCCCATTTACCTCACCTGGGCGGAGTGTGGCAAATGTAGATCAATGTCTTGCCAAAGGACATTAGTGCCGTGACGGGATTCGAACCGCGGACCTTGTGATCGACAGTCCAGCGACGTATCCACTCGTCTACGACACCTCTACTGCTGAAGTGAGCGAGTCTAGCCAGATAAGGATCTTTGCAGACAATACCTTTGCCACGGTTGGTCCACTCAGCACACTCCAAGCAGTGATGGTATCAATCACACACCTCTCTAGACCCAACTCTCCAGCTGCTCTGCTGCCCTCTGTAGTGCATGTAGAGTTATGTAAAATACTCAAATGCTGAGATACTTGATGTGCTGAATCTGGGTCCCCCACCAGCAGCTGTAGATGGTAAATATTCAAAGAAGAAAAACAAAATATGTTTATTTACAGGTACAATTAGGCTATCCTCAACCAAAGTAGTGTGCGTTACACATGCAGTAACATTGAGTATCAAGATGATGCTCCTAGCATTGTCGGAATAACATTAAAAAAACATTAAGTATACAAGTACCGTATGTAGTCTCAAAGCATACCGTAGATTTGAGGGCAAATTGCCTGGATTTTGGAGTTAAACATTTTATATAGCAAATAAAAAGTGAATTTAGTTATCTGTTAATAACAGATATGACATTGATCGATAAAGACTTTTAATAAAATAGTCCAAATATTTTTAGGATTTAGACTAAGGACTTCAGATAACAGTATAAGAGTTTAGATCACAGGTGAGATGAAGTAGTCACATAATTTAATCTCAATTCAATGATTTAACAAGTGCTGTTTATACTGTGAAGTTCTATATTAGACATGCAGCATGCCCCAAAATATATTATATTTTGTTCAATTCAAAACAAAAGGGCTTGAAAGTGTCTTTTTGTTGGGAAAAAACGACCGATAGTTATCAAATCGACGTAAGAGATTGCAATGTTTTTGGTAAATAGTCTGATTTTCAGACCCTTGTATCAAATCGTGTACATTTTGTGCTGCGCAAAGAGTCAATCAGTTTAATTTAGCCATTACAAGAAGTGGGTTATTGGTGTAGACAAATGCTCATGGACCCTTTTTAGCTCATTTTATGTATAAAAACATTTTATTACCAAAGAAAAAATGAAGTCAGTCAGTCACTCAATAGTGTCTGACAGTGAAGTTTAGAAAGAAAACCGGTTTCTTGCATAATTTGAACACTAGGACAATGTGAACATTTTAATTTTATAGATAGGACATAGGTGACATATTCATAATTCCTGCAAACGTCTGAAAAGTTCTACAGAATTTGATGTTGGCTGCAAAAGGGATGCAGTATATACCTAGCTTTAAAGTGACTCAGTAACATTGCCTCAGATTCTGAAACAAAATCCTGGATGTAGCTTATGCTGCAATCATAATTAAAAACCTTTAGGTCAGTCAGGAATTCTATGACTTTTACAAGCCAATCGCCTGCCTGATTATTAAGATATTTATGATTGGAAATCAAATTTTTTTTTTTTTTATAACACTAGTCTAGTCTAATGGGGAAAAATGAGTAAGGAAAAGCCGGTTACTCAAAGATTTTAACTTTTTGAGGCACTTTATGACAATTCTAAAGCACAATTTTTTAGGGCTTCAATATTACACCATTTCACAGACACTAACACGTAGGGCAATGCATTTCAGATTTAACACATAACCGGTTCCTTTTGGGATTCTTAGACTTGTTTGAAATGTTATTCGGGATAATGCTATTCACATTTATATTTATATTGCGAGAGCTTCCAAAGAGACAGGGCATGGTGCCTCATGTCCTAGTGACTAGTCTAGATATAGCCTACTCCTTCATCATCAATTGTCACTAAAGTGCCACTTTTTACATTAAATTAATTCTGGTGTTTTTTTAACATGTCATTCCCCATTGGTGCATAGCCTTCAGTATCACGAGTGAAAAAAGGTTTGAATTAAAATTTGGTAATATAAAACGTTGACCAATTTTGCATAAGTGGACAATGTACGTAGACTGCATAGGGATGCTTGCAATTTATATTGGGGAGAGTTTTAACACACAGATCCGAGTGTGCGATCAGACACCCTACCATTGCCATTGGTATTCAAACATTTATAGAATAACTAGAAGAATAAAGCTGAGCTAGACTTTGCTAGAGGGTGTCTTAAAATGTTTTCCTACACTATATTAATGCTTCTTCTTCGAACTATGCTTAGAACTTGTACGATGAGTAGCTCCAGGGAGCTCCGACGCTGACGCCAAATGCAACGGACTGCGTCGGAGCTCCCTGGAGTTACTATGAGGGCTTCTGCCCTCCATACTACAAACAACTGTATTACCTTGCCCCACCCTGCAGGAGTGAATGGATTACAAATGGCTCCAGTGAAGCAGCAGAAGTCAAACCACCAAAAATCCACTCGTTCTGGCGATACCTCTCTCAAATCATCCATTTCATAACAGACTGGCAGATTTATCGATCGGTTGGTAGATATACGAGTCCATCTTGATCTCAACCACTTTTCTGTCCTCCCTCTCTCTGCCATATTTGCACATTCTCTCGTGATGTTGCAATTAGGCAGCCATCCATTCGCAAAGTTTGCGTAGTCTGCCACAACCTTCTGGAGTATCCTGCTACCTTTATGCCCATAGCAATCTGGAAATCCGATTTCGCTCTTGCAGTGGGACGTGATCATTTGACGAAACTGTGAATTATTGAAGACAGAAGAAGGAATGACCGCCACAGTACTGGTCGGCTGACCTGCAGAGGCCCTAGCTGCTTCTCGGGTACCGCCGCCTCGGCCTCGCTCCTGTTCCGGGCGACTTGACCATGGTCCGATCTCTCTCGCAATGTTCACACGGAGCTGGCTCTTGCACTGTACACGGCTGCCGTCGGGCTGTGTGTTGGGGTTGCTGCGGCGGGATACTCTAAAATTGAGCGCCGATAATTTTGAAGCAAACTTGGCAAATAAATAGCCAGGTTCAATCGAATCTGTCACATTTGAATAATCAGGACTTAGAGCTTCATATGTGATCGAAACATTCATTAAAATTATAAAGCTTATTGTGCTAAAATAGCTGAATTTAAGATACTTTGCACGAAATCTTCCGTAAGCCATCTTGTCAAATCGATCGGTGACCCTCATTATTTATTTATTTGTTTTCCTGAGTACGCTAGTCTCACATTCAATGCCATAGTTTATTTGCACCAAAAAATCTTTTCAAAAATCTACGAAGATTTTACATAAATAAAGTAAATAAAATAAAAGTAATTTATTTGATTGATATCTAAGATTAAATCGGAGTATTTAATATCTTTTAAAGCTTTCTACATTATAAAATGTAAGTAGTATTAGTCACAATCAATTTTTAGGTCTATTGCTATAGACTAGTAGAACTTATGGAAAGCCATTTATGATTTCTTTTCTGTTCTCATTATTTTTTTTTTATTACAAGTTAAATACATGCAAACATAATTGTCATTTTCGTAATACATGTATAATCAAATTCAATGCTCAAATATTTAATAAGTGCCTCGTTATGAATTAATTCCATTCACCTGACTGTTAAAACGTCGCACTGAGCGTCGTTTGTCAAGAAACGAAAACTCAATCAACAGGAAAATCTATCGTGAAAAAGTGTCTCACTCTATAAGTCCAGTAGTAGTTACCTGCGGGAGGAGATTGAGAAACTTGACAACAAGGTCAAGTGACTATTTTAATGGATGTAAAAGTTAACATAGCTTCCCCATCATGTAAAGCCCCCATAACACCAAACTAGTTCTCACTACGTTCTGGAAGCGTCCTAGAAAATCATAAAACGGGTTGTGGTCGGGGCAGAATGTGTACAAAAATGTCCACAATATTACAGTTCGTTCATAAACGGCCCCCGATACGTTCATCTCGTCTGTACCCCGTCCACAGTCAGTTCATATCCAGTTCAGATCGGGTAAATTTGTCATATCCAGGCAGTCCAAGTCAGTCCGTAGTTGACCCATTATTAACTCGTTCCCAATACGTCCAAACCCATTCTAACAATAGATCGCCATATGTTAGACTCTAACAAATATTGGGCCAAAATTGCCCAATTTTTACCCAACATGAGGGCGACTATAACTTTTTCCAACCAACGGTTGGGTAAATTAAAGATTTTGCATGATTTACCCAGTGTTGAATAAAAAGAAAATATCCAACTTTTTACCAACAAAGATTTACCCAATAAGAAATTCACCCAATTCTCCACATAATGTGTAGCATATTATTAAACACTAGTTGGGCAATTAAGTTGGATAAAATATTATATGCTTTTAGTTGGGCAATTAAGTTGGATAAAATAATTTATGCAAAAGGACATTAGCCGCCGCGGCGGAACCCGAACCGCGGACCTTGTGATCCACAGTCATGTGACATAGGCCTCTCCACTCGACCACGATACCTGTAATATAAGAATATAATATTATTGTTGTATAATAATGTTGCCTGACTTACGTTTGCCCAGTTACATCTGCCCAACTTATATTGAACATGTCATTGGGTAAATACATGTAGTATGGTTGGGAGAAAATACCCCAAATGTTGGACAAAATGGCCCAACTCTATTTTGCCCCATAACATTACTCAATTATTTTATCGGTTACTACAAGTCATGGTTGGTAGGAAATAACCCTATACAGTTGGACGACATATTCGTCCCTATTTTCACGAAGTGACGGTAGTGATGAAAATCGTCACGCAAAGTGAATGCAACGTTTTTTCACTACCGTCACTTCGTGAAAATTATGTTGCCCAACATCGATTTGCCAAATAACACCTACCCAACCTATTTTTGTTTACCTTTCATGGGGTAACGTCATATGATAAATGGTTGGGAGAAAATAGCCCAACTGTCGGACAAAATTTGCCCAACTTCGATTTACCGAGTAACATCTGCCCAATTTTTTTATAGTGTAGTTATAACCCGTCCAGAGACAGTTCAACTCCTCCTTATCTCGTTCTTAGTGCGTTCGAACGTGTGCAATCCCGTTTTGGCTCGGGAGATAGTAAAATAAACACACCGCGTTCTCGCCATTCTTCATTCCCGTTCAATTTCAACGCTTCACGGCTTTGCAGATCAAGACATTCAAGTCAATTAGCCCCCGGCCATCACACCAAACTAGTTCTCACTACGTTCTAGAAAATGTTGCCTAACGGGCTCAAAACTGCGTGCGAACGAAGTATCAACTATTTACGATCTTTTTTAAGAACTTCATGGACGGACTCGGACTGGCTCGGACTGGCTTGGACGGGAAGGGTGCTCTTGAACTTTGAGCCTGTTCAAAATTTTCCCCGTCCTGCAGTACGAGATGAACGTACTGCGAACGGAATTGCCGTAGTATGAACGGAAATGCCGTATACTTCGATCTAGCTACTAGGAACGTGTTACAACGTGATGTACGTGGTCGAGCATCAAGTAGGAAGAACGCGATGGGTTTTTATAGCACTCAAACCAGGACGGGATTGTACAGCACGATATGAGTGCGTTCGCGAACGCACTAAGAACGAGATGAGGACGAGTTGAACTGCATGTTTGTGAAACGAGGTGGTTTGGTTATAAACTGGTTAGAAGAAGTTCCGAAGTGGTAACAATGGTTTGGACTGCTCGGACACGTCAAATTTACCCGATCTGAACTTGATATGAACTGACGGGCACAGACGAGTTTGACGTATTGTGGACTGTTAGTAAACGAACTAGGATCGTATTAGAGTCAATAATAGTCCACTCCGAGCCCGGTCCACAAAGTCCTTAAACAGATCGTAAACAGTTGCTATTACGTACGTTCAACTCCGCTAGCACACATAATATTATGAGCCCGTTTGGCAACATTTTTGAGAACGTAGTGAGAACTAGTTTGGTGTGATTAGGGCTTAAACAAAGTCTGCCGAGTCACAAATCAGATAATCAGTTGGCCTACGACTTCGGTTTCTTCCAGAACAATTTAAGATCCTAAAAATAGCTGATGAGTTAGATGCATGGTCGTGATCAAACTAAATAATTATAACAACTATTCATCCTACTTTCTCTGAATTTCACCTTATATCTGAGGATGATGTTCTCAATGTTATCAAGGAAACTAATCTTAAACATGTCGAATAGATCCTGGTAGACCCCTGGATCCACCAAGGCCCATTCATATAGCTCCGTTTAGTCTCATTTCACAACGCCCCCTATCGTCAGGGTCAGCAGCCATACATGTTAGCCTGGAATTGTACAAACAAAATCGTTAAAAAATTATTTTTTGTTTAAACGAAAAGCACATCCACCCCGACGTACGTTATCACCAGCTCTTTCATTGAAACCCTCATGTCCCATTGACTTTTGAAAGTTCACCCGCCGTAATTTGATCAAAATAGGTTGCAAGCTCGTCATTGCCTATAATACACGTGTGAAACAAGTCGATCTTTGGACTCAGTTTGCCAAGCGTTTTTAAGACTATAGGTCAAGCACACGAAGGATAAGAAGCATGAATTATCATAGATCACTTCTGCTTGGTTCATAGCTCATACCCCATCTTGATGCCCCGGCTTGATGCCGAGCCTAGCCCGATATGCATGCTGAGCGTGCAGCTAGCGGATGCGCCGTACAGACTATACGTTATGTCGTTATCTCTCTCTCTCTCTCTCTCACAGATTTTGAGAAGTCCGTACTGCCGCCGTACTGGGACGGGAGTGCATGGGACTCAATGTTTTTACTTTTCATAATGAAATAATCCTGAATGAGCTTTCAAAACTAGCAGGGATTTCTGAAATCTGATCGCGGGATTTCATCAATTTTTCTATGTTCAACTTCAAGATATTTTATAACCCCCTTTTTTAATTTCAAAGAGATGAGAGAAATAAACACCCCCTTTTTAAAGAAATCTCCGGGTGAAAGTCAAATACACCCCTTTTTTTTACATTTCTCGGGCCGGGCTTTGTCGCACGAAAAGTACCCCTCTACCGGACATTTTGGCAACACGCATGCGGTCATTTCGAGACCTGAGTGGGGGGGGGGGGGCGGGCTTGCGAGAGCGGCCAAAGTATGATTGAAACTGGCCTTTTGCTCTTCTCCAACGCAAAAAGAGACGACATTGTGCTGGATAAATCTATTTTTTCCGACAAAAGTACAGAAAATTTGCATGTGGTCTTTTTATATTATACTTTATGAAATGTTACCCGAGTGACTCCCGGGCGCCCCAATGCTGGAAAGAAACGCACATTTTAGAAAACTTCACTTTTTCATGGAAAAATGCTTATTTGTTCTATGCACGCAAGTCAGATTGAGCGGATGAAACAACGTTTCCATATGCCCCCCCCCCCGGTTATTCAGTGGCTGGCTGAGTCGTTGCCAAATTTTTGTGACCAAAAAATAAATAAAAATGTCCTGTTACCACCCCCCCCCTTGAAAAAAATCCTGCGTACGCCACTGATAGGGGTCTAGACTCTAGATAATGACAACTTGACAAGCACGCTGGACCCACACAAAATCTTAATATTAAATAAACAAATCCTAGTGTTGATGTTTTTGGAATATTTTTTATTAATAAGTTCCAGGTTTACGTCTAAATGAAATAGGATTTGGAGTTGTTTGATTATCAATGGTCACAGATAATTTTGGTCGAGGCCGGAATAAAGTTGACAAGCACCGCGTACCGATGATGCAACTGAGCGAACGGATGGCACTGATATTGATAAGTAAAGCCATCAGAGTCCACATCTACTAAAGATTTTAACAAGAATTAATTCACTTGGATTATCAAAAAAATCATGCTTCGTAGATTATTTTAAGATGTAACGTTAAATCTAGATTTAAATTAAATCGATGATTGGTGAATTAGATTCATGATGACGATCAAATCTGCCATAAAACTTGATTAGAAAGTTTGATCTTGATGCAGATGAGCACCGAAATTCCCCGGGGTGGGCCTGCCGGAACCCCGGGGCCCTAAATGGAGTACAAGGGTGAAATGACGGCAAACCGCAGTCAAACTACTTCATGACGATGAAAATCAAAGTGCAAATTCAAGAACAATATTTTATTAGTCTTTTCCCCAAAAATCTGTTGAGAACTGTCTCAAAATCTAACAAAATTACCGTAGATCACGAAGACTAGTTTGCAGCTTTTTCGAAATTGATGACTAAATTCACT